TTCTTTTTGAATAATAGCGACAACTTCGATTGCAGATCTTTTTCGTCTAGGTATATCATTTCCTTTTTCTTTGTCAATATGTGAAAGGACCCCCACTCTGTTAGTACAGCGTCTATTTCATCGAATGTTTTGGAAAATACAATGAATTTGTTTTGAATATCTAATATGGTGATGTGGTGCGATTTCGGAGCTGGAGCTGAGCTGGTGGAAGCTTTGGGGGGCGACTCGTTGGTGGTGATCACCAGGTAGCTTCGAAACCAGTTAAGACGGACTTTCTCGCCTTCTAGGGCGTAACATGGACCGCGACCTTCGGTAGTGTAACAGTATATTGCCTGAAAATATTACTAATGTTTAATACAGCTTCAACGCAAGCGAACGTGAGATATGTCTTTGAAGATTAAATCGAACACTAAATTTTATCAAGATGGTAGACCCAAAATGGTAGCCGGAAAAAAATGGCCCAATCAGGCTACGGTTTTTATTCCATCGATTTAAATAGACGTATTAATTTAAATTTAGAATGGAGTAAGAACTGGTTAATCAAACGACGTTAATTCGAATAGCCAATCAGATGACTTTAATATCACGTGAAAACTGCCCAATCTCTCGTTTTGACAATCATCTAGTAATTTTATATTTTTGTCTTATTTGCTTTTTTATCTTATTGGTTTTTCAGGCCGAATCTTGGGAGAGGGACTCCGTCCTTGCTCAGGTCATTGTCTCCTAACCCAGTGCTCGTCCCTCCTTTCTACTCTCACAAAATGAGGACTATCGTACTAACGTCGTTGTTAGCCACGGTGAGGCGGTGCTTGTCGGCTAACACGCTGCAGCCGGGTGCGGCGCCCATAGCGTCCAGGGTGACGCACCGGTCCGCGCCCAGCCAGTACACCATTATGCACGAGCGAGACACCACGAACAGTTTGTCTGCGCCTCTGGAGGTAGAACATTTTTAATATTACTTCCAGAAAACCTCGAGACACGTTTCAATTATTTAAATTAAAAAAATAGGTCGTAACTTTAAAAGTTACGTTTTCAACGACAGAAGCCGTGGCGCGCACGCAGGAACTGTGATTTACGCTCATAATACAAAAGATTTAGACATAATATGTGACACGTAACTGCTTCCGTGGCCGAACGGTTACCATACTGCCACGCAGAGGTCCCAGGTTCGATTCCCGGGCCGGGAGAAATATTTCTATTGCCTACGTTTATTTCTCACGTGAGTTTGGGTGTAATTTGTGGTTGTCTATGTGTGTGTCCTTGGCACCCGTAACACATGGTTTCCCTAGTGCGGGGCTATGTTGAGTGTGTAAAAAAAAACTATCGTATTTGCTAGCAATTGCTTTTTTCCTGTTCTCCGTAATAATGGCTTTATTACACTTTAATGTTGTTTTCACTTTAAACATAATTTATACAAGAATCGGTAAGCTTGGAAAGTAGAATTTGAAGGCGTAACGCTCAATACAAATTTTGTTTTTATCAGATCTGGAGACATTGCTGTCATATTCTAAATTCCCCTTATTCGCTAATGGTGTTACCACTATATAGTATAGTTGATTAATGCCATCGATGGTTGAATGAGTCAATGACGATTGACAGCACCAATTTGATCTGTTCCATTTCTCATTCAATGATGAAACAATCAACGATCGATCTATACTCTTCTGTATACGTTTTAAAAGCTACTGAAATTACTAAATCCATGAACCGATCAATAATCGATAGACAGCCCGAATGATTACTTGATCGATCGATATTCTTCTATAAGCCAATGACGTCGATCGATAGCATCTATTCTAGATCGATTGGTTGGTGTAATTAACACTCTAAATATAACAACTGCAGAACAATACAGGTTATCAGTCTATAATTTTTCACTCTACTTTGAGCTGCTTAATAGAGGTATGCGGATCTTAACACTGGTATAACTTACTTGAAAGCCAGTCCGGTAATGGGACTAGTGCCCGAGTCTGATAACGTTTTCATTTTGCCGCTGCGCTGCCGCGAGATGTCGCCACGGAACAGCGACACCGACCCATCTTGAAAACCCACGGCAAGAAGATTCTGAAACCATAATAAATTGTTTCTATTGACTTTCGCCTTTTCGGACTCCCCAAACAATAGCTAAGTATTACAATATCCAAAGGTACAAATTTTTAATCCCAATTAAATTTGAACAATTCTACGGGGTCTACTGACCGAACTCCGTCCGAAATAATTACTGTCAAATAAGTAATATTCGACAAAATTAAAAGACAAGTATCAAGTATGAAGCTTCATTCGCATCACGCGTCTTTTCATTTGGTCATGTATTGCTTATTTGGCAGTAATAGTTTAGAACGGATGTCGGACGGAGATCGAGAGTAGACCCCCAGTTCCGAATCCGAGAAATGACGGTCCGAAATGTCACAGGGATCATTTTATCTCCAGGTGTACAAGTGATATTCGTATTTTCTAGGATTCGAAACGGACTGAGTGCACAAGCGAAACTTGCTCACGGTGTGTAGGTAGGCTCGGGATGCATTCTTGATGCTAAATGATAGCGAACATCAAAATAGTTTTTAAACTCTTAAGCACTTTAACTAAGGCTTTCAATTCCTTTTACCACCTAAATTTCACCACAGATTTTACTCCACATGTACATATTTAGATTACTTACAAACGGAATGATTTCTGTAGCAAAAGGTTTATACGTGAGGTGCACTATAAGTTTCCGGAATGGTCAAAAATGAATTTATTGTTTTTTAAAATATTTTCCGATAACGTTAATGCACTTTTTCACACGAATGAACCAATTTTGAAAACATTTATGCCACTCCTCCGTAACAATCTCTGAAACATATTTTTCATACTCTTCTTCAGGTGACGAAAAACGTTGACCGCGTAACTGGTTCTTAATTTTTGGAAATAAATAAAGGTCACAAGGTGCCACGTCGGGACTGTACGCGTGGTGGCTCATAAGGTCAACGTTGTTCACCTTCAAAAATTCATTTGTTTGTCTGGCCGTGTGAGAACTGGCATTATCGTGGTGCAAGAAGATACAGCGTTTACGGTTATTTTTACGGAGTTTGTCAATAACTTCCGGCAAACAAATGGTCGTGTATCAATCACTATTCACGGTACAACGATTCTCCAAAGCAACAGTAGCCACGTGTCTAGTTTTATTAAAAAAAAAGAAGCAATCATCCGCTTAGAGGCACTTTGCACGCGCACCACTTTATTTGCTTTCGGCTCATCTCGAAAGACCCATACGCTCGATTTCTGCTTTGTTTTGCGATCGTAACTATAAATCCATGTTTCGTCACCTGTTACTATGTCCCACACCAAATTTGACGCCTCTTCGTTGAATCTGGTAAGCATGGCATTGCACCAAGTGACGCGATCCGTTTTTTGAGCCTCAGTCAAATTGCGTGGAATCCACCGAGAGCACAGCTTTTTCACACCCAAATGTTTGTGTAGTATTGATTGTATTTGACTCATGCGTATGCCTAAAGATGCCCGAATCTCATGGTATGTCACATGCCTGTCTGTTTTGATCACAGCATAGATGTTTTTGTTGTTCACAGCAGTGGACGAGCGGCCATCACGAAATTCGTCACTGAGATTCGCACGACAGCGATTGAATTCTGCAAACCAGCTATATCGCCAAAAGCAGTTTGAAGCCGAGTGAAGCTCCGCTGAGCTGTTGTAAGTCGTAGATAATAATACTACGAAAATTTTCACGAATTAAATCCATGGTGATGTAGACAATCAATTTCTAAAATAACGCCACAATGTAAAAACAAGTGACAGTCAGATGAAACAAACTGTTATTCTACAGCCAAAGAGTTCCATTTTCAAATGTTGTAATTACTTTTTAAATATTGTTTATGTAAGTGGCCAGTTCCGGAAACTTATAGTGCGCCCTATGTACATAATGGTTCCGTGGACCTAGTAAGCTCTGTATTAGCGTACCGCGAAATAAACGCTACGAAGTTAAGGGGAGGAAACCTCTTTACACACACATAATTCCTGACTAGTCACAAACTTAGCTGTTCTAAAGTGATAAACATTTTTATTATTAATTATGTTATACCACCACAGTTCATTAGCGTTGTTACCATTGTTACCAAAACAGCCATAAACATCTGTCCAGAAAAAAAAATGAATACAAAATAACATTTACAGGGTTGCCAGTTTTCATAAAATTTTAAATAGTCATGTAGTTTTTGTCGACAGTTTTATAGATTGAGAAACGTGAAACGTCTCCTCTTTGAATTTTTATTAGACATAGTTCTCAATGCAGGGTGTGTATGTATGAACTTACAAAAATTGTAAATTATATTGAACCTGTGCCCAGAGACATTTAAAATTAAACAAATTCGGCTATTTATTACATTAGCGTAACCAACATTCAGTCGATAGTCGATAGAATATTTATCGACTGCAATCACTAGCTGCAAGCACGCAGGCAACACTTTTGGGCAATGAACTGTCATTTTACTCCGTCTTTAAAAATGACAGACTATAAATTGTAATATTAAATATAAAAATTCAATATTAGGAAGGAAAGGGTAAAATAAAAAAATGTTATAATATGATCTATGATACTAAAAGGTTGAGGACCTCTGTCATAAATGAATGCAATTAAGTGTTATTGTATTGTACGAACTTTAATGCTGTCGGCCTTGGGTCTGCACTGTATTTAGTGGTGATCACAATAGAACAGTCAATGGTCGAAGTGATGAAGGGATGCAAAGCTAATGCGAATAATAATAATAATTGTACGAACTTTGTTATCGTGTACAGCCAGCGCAGTGGTGGGCGTAGAGCGCATGTGCGAAGGAACTGCGCGGGAGACTCGCACGCAGATCGGGTTCCCATGCCGGTCACTGCGAGACCAATCCCACACTTTTATCAGAGGATTCACGCCTGCTTCTTCATCCTGAAATAGGGAATTGAAAGCTACTATTTAATGAACCAGCTACATGGTCTAGATTCACATAGGTAACCTTGCGAAGCCTCTTGTCAGTGTCTTGCAAGGTGTTAATTTACTTACGAAGGAACTAAAAAAACTAACTCTAAATAAATAATATAAAACTGACTCAATAATAGCGATAAGAAACCTCCAATAAATAACAGTGGGTTTACTCCATGTACAGTATACATACAATGTTTTTTTGGGCTGAACTTGCGGCATACTTTTGTTGCAGCCAATTTTTTTAATTCAATATATTTTTGGTTAACGTTATTACAGTCCCGATTGGTCACGTAAACATTCATAACAACTTGTGTAATTTTAACAATCGAGACATCTAAAGGTTGATACACAATGCACAACTTCTGGCAATATGTTGCCGCAATTTATCGCGTTGCGCGATTTGTCAACACAAGACCATACATTGTGTTCCTTCAGGCCTTCTTTCTCAACTGAACAACACTGCTCTAAGAGCCAATGAGGATGATTTGGCTGATGATCGAAACACTGAGAAAATGCTTTGCTTCTGAAGTTTAAACATAGCACCAATTAAAAAAGATCAACTAATTATATGCATACATAATTATAAAATTAAATAATTTATCATTAACCCATCTATAACACATCCATGTATGTACATACAATCATTAGAGACACATGGTTTTCCTAAGAATTTTGATACTGAAGTGACCTAAAGTCACACGGTGTCTGTAACACACAGATGTGTTATATTGACCATAAAAAAATTTATAAAAGTATAAAAACAATCCTTTCTAAAGTCATTTCTGACACACATATGTCAATAGGATGCATAACGGGTTTACACTACAAAAATCTTTGAAAAACACTCACCCCAATAGTAACAAGATATGGGTCATGAGGCAGCTGCTGAGCCAATGAGACCGTCAGCTCATATGCTTTGAACGTAGTGATCTCCCATGAGCGAGAGATGAGGTGCACCCAGCCAGTCACGTCGCAAAGGACTACATGATTATTGCCACTTGTAGCTACGGTTACATGTGTATCCTTGCAAAAGAATGATTAATTACTAATAATAAAAGGTTCCAAGATTGCTTATAAGACATTCTGTAGAAACTAAAATTTGCTTGCTGTGCTGTGTTTTGTTTGTCTCAGTATGACATTCTTGTGTACAATAAAAACTATTTGAACTTGTACTTTTAAAAGGCAACCAAACTTTATACATGTTATATATAACACTTAAGTTTTAAATAATAATATACTCTAGTCATTGACTTACAAATAAATGGACGATGGGTCTAATACAAAAACCACGAAAAAAATGTCCCAAGTCAACCTATTCGAAATTTAAATTGTTATGTCATCGCAGTATCGCGCTGTGCGTAGAACAAATGAAGACTAAAGCGGAGTGTCGCGCTCTGTATACGATTTTAGCGCCTTACAAGTGCGGACACTTTTTAGCGCGGATCCGACGTCCATATAATTGTAAGTCAATGACTCTAGTAAACGTAATTCCAGTCACCTTGCATTTTTATTCCTGAACAGATGAATATAGTTATAACACAGAATTACAGTTATTATCAAAGGAAACATGGACTTATTAAAGGACCTCGGTGGCACCGGCTGGAAAGAGCAGGCTTGCAACTGGAAGATGTGGCAGAATTTGGTGTCGGACACCATCATCCACTTTGTAATCGCTTCAGCAATGAAGTAAGTAGTAACATGGATTTAAGGAAATGACTGAAGGACAAAATTGCATAACAGTTTTTGGCCCATCAAACATTGTTTGAACTTAAGGCTTTTGACACTGAAACTTGTGGCCGGACCTCAACCGCTCGACCCTCAGGGTAGCATTGGTTTTCACCCGTATATATACACCTACCCCACAATATTTATTTATCTGCAGACTTTGTTTTGTTTGGAGTAATGAAGTTTTAACACGTATAACAACGTCGTCGGTACCGCTGGACGCAATAGATTTTGAGAATTTTTAATTTATCACTAGCTACAGCCGTGCCAATATGATACATACTTGCAACGCTTCGGCGATTTTGCCATTGTCGACGTTTTTGTGAATGTCAAAGAACGTGAAACGACGCCACTGCAAACAGACAAAAATACATAAAACGATATTCTGAAAATGTAAGAAAACATAGTAAAATAATAATTAAGATGATAACAAAAACCGTCGATATTTAATTGGGTGTATTCGACTTCTTTTCTAATGGTTTTGAACATGAAATTCTTTCATTTAACTAAAGCAAATAATGCACAAACCTCTAAAAATGCCATTTTGGCATTTAACAACTGATTACAAATCACATAACTATCGAAAATTATCAATTTTCTGTTGATTTTTCCTCTACAAAATGAGGCAACAAATATTATGACAAATGTCAAATGCCCGCTCGCAGCGCTGACGGACTTTGTCACTGTCAGTGTCAAGTTTTTTTTTAATAATTATTATTAATGGATTTGCTTTCGCATTTAGCCAATGAGAAGGTTAGGGAAACAGAATTACAGTGAGTCCTACATGCTCTAAGTGCAAAGGTACGGAATTTGGTTGGGCATCATCTCGTTTCGGAGGCCGGGGTTCGAGGTTGCGGGGGTCGAGACATATTTTGGGTCGCTGAGCCAGCGGAGGAAATAAGTACGGTTGGGTAGGTGAGTAGCTATTATGGTATGTATCGGCATGCATATTGATATTATTAAGCTTGATATTATTATTCGCGATCAATAAGTAAATACTACCATAGATTTAGTATATGAGTACTACCTATACATATCTTAATTACATACAAACAATAAACTTGTTATGGAAGTGGGGAATAATGGGACATGGATTGCCAAAAGTTGGGATATAAAAGTATCGTAATCAATTGTAGTGCAGAAGAAGATATTATAATTTAGATAGGACCCACATGAGCATGCAGGGTCAGATACAATTTCGTCCTTCAGGGCAGGCTAAGGTGCTAAGATACGCTGATGATATCCACAGCAGTTCGCCAGAGGTTCTTCCAAAAACAAATACATTGCCGCTGACTGCATTCCTCGAAACTGTCACTGGCCCAAACCTAGGGGCCACCGTTAAGGACATAATAATAATAATAATTTTAATTATTTTTATCATACGTCCATGTTTTTATCTATAATGACACAACCAGTTTGGTTCCTTGACTGCGTTATCAAATTATATGCTTTATATCTAGGTGATGCACAAAAATAAAGAGGGTGTCTGTAATTAACCAGCGATTTATTATAATGGCGTTACAATGCTTAGCTACAATGCTTAGCAACAAGCAACACAATTATTATGCGCTAAAGGGGTAAATAAGCACATGAGAATCTTTCATGCGTACTGAGGTAGGTATACGTAATTCGGTGGCTTTAGAAAGCATCATTCTAGAGAATAGCGGCCTATCTCAATATCAATTATATAATTAATTAGATTTTTTAAAAACTACTGCAGAATATCTAAAATGCAAAGCCGATGAATTGTATATACCGTCGGCTTAGTGCAAGAAGGCATTAATTGCCATATAATTTATGTGGCAATTAATGACTTTTTGCAATAAGCCGACGATACGTAGATCCATGTTGTTACGTGATTACTTTACGCAATAAAATGTCTTTTTTTAACCGACTTCAAAAAAGGAGGAGGTTCTCAATTCGACTGTATGTTTATTTTTTTTGTGTGTATGTTACGCGATAACTCCGCCATTTGTGAACCGATTATGATGATTCTTTTTTTGTTGGAAAAGGGGTACCTCAGAAGTGGTCCCTTTTAAATTTGAAGAAAATATTCGACGCCTCTAAGGGTGGTAAACTAGGGGATGAATGACTTTTGAGGCACGTTTTTTTAGTACTCTGTACTGAGGTTATTTACAAGGCAACTGTGTAAATAAGACAAAAAATTTACAACTTTGGTTTAGGCCAAAATTCTTGAAAAGCAGTCACGCGTAAAAGTAATGTTTCCCATTGTCCAGATTGGTTCTCTTGGCTTATTGTTTCTTTTTGATGAACAACGAAAGAACTGAACAACGTTCTATTTCAATAGTTGGCCTCGACGATTAAAGTTACACACTTTGACCTGTGGGCTATTTTAATTAATTTTTGGACATTGTCAAGTATTCTGAACGATCTTGAGCAACAACTTTCTACGTTCTGCAACAACTTTCTATGCCTGGAGTACTACGGTTCTATTCAGATCCTCCAGAATCCATTTATCCTGAATTGAATGAATTGAGCCTACGATTCTAAACAACTTTCACTAAAGTAATAACGTTTTATTACCTACACGGACCTTTTATAATCTGGACCCGTAAGGTTGCATATCAAGTTTTGAGTAACATTGTACGTATTGTTACCAGATTTCACTAAGGTGACTAAGTTTCAATGCATCAAAAGTTGAGATTCGTATACATTTAGTTACATATACGTCCAGCTACTATAAACGTAGCAGTATAATGCATTAGTAGCAGTAGAGCTCTTCGTGAAAGGATTCGTCCAGGGAAGTACTGCCACCTTACCTATTTCTACCGCGAAGCAGTAATGTCAGCATTACTGTGTTCCGGTTCTTAAGGGTAAAGGTACTGTTGAAATTACAGGCACATGGGACTTGTGAACTTATGTCTCATGGTGATGGGCGCAGTGGCAGTGCCCCTCAGATCTTTGCGATTTAAAACTCCGAGTGGTGCTGCAACTGTTATGGACAGGCGTGTCGTTTACCATCAGGAGCACGACTTGTTTGTCCCGTCACTTGATATTATTATTATTATAAAAACGTGTTAATAAAAAGAAAACGCATCTACTTTTAAGTACTTTATTTATGAATGCTCTCAAGGTCCCTTTAAATAACGCTTCATGAATGCAATAATAGCGTCATTAGATTTCGTCAACCAAACTTTTGACACCCCGATATGTGTGTACATTTTGTAATACTCAATCCCACTGAGTTCGTAGTTGAGAGATGTTAGACCGTCGAAACTCTGGTTTGAGTGCGTTGTATTTGAGTAAGGTACGAACTCGGGTAGTTGGGTATACACGAACCTACGGATTTAAACACATTTTGATATACTTTCCGCTTTAGGGTTTCGTGAAATAAAATGAACTAATTTACGGGTTAAGTAATTGGTTTGGAACTACATACACAGAGAAAAGTACATAATATGCAGTGAAGTAAGTACACAGTCACAGTTCACCTTTGTGTATGTGTGTAACTAAGTTTAGAGCCGAAAATTACTATTTTTGTTTAATTGAAAGATTGTACGTGGCAAATCCATAAATTTAGATGTGTCTAAATCCACCAATCGCATATAGTATAAAAATATGACTTGGCTGTCAATTTCGTGAAAACCGTGAAAAACTATTATTTCGCGTTACCAACACCATCTAGTGGCTAAGGCCGACCTCAAACGCCCCGCTGAACCCACCGCAGACAGTTCCGAGTTTGCGGCGTAAGTGATTACATAAAACCGTGACGGTTCCTAAGGGCGCGTTCCCACTATGTCGTCACGTTTTATTATTGTTGGCCGACTGTCGTGTCTAGCCTGCTCCCATATCACGACTATCTGTCGTGGACGATTTTTTATCGTTGAACGTCTGTCGTAACTAGCAGTTCCCACTAGATCGTGACGACAATTTATCATTTCACGACAGCCCCCTTGCCCATCTCTGGCTACGACGTAACGCTACTGCAAAGCGGCCAGAGGGCGCGGGGTACGAGAGGGGAGGGCAGGGAGCAGAATACGTGCGGACAGCGACAAATAAATCGTGACGACAATAGGAGCTGCGACCATCATCTGTCTTCCCGTTTTTATCGTGACGTTTTATTATCGTCTGACGACTGTCGTTCAAGCTGTTCCCACTGTGACGACAGTTTGTCGTTGTAACGATAAAAAATCGTGAACGACAGTGAGTCGTGTCGTGGTATATGTAAACAACTTCATTTAAATATACAAGCCACGACACTGGAAACTGCACGACAATCTGTCACGACATAGTGGGAACGCGCCCTAAGCTTCGCCAAGCACTTTGGTATGCGGAGAGTAACAGAGTGAAATAAATCATTGTTGATTTGTCTATCTAAGAATATTTAAAGAAATTTGGTTTACGGTCAACGGGAATGATTCCCGAGTCTTATTTGCTAAACACGTCTCTAAGAATCAGCCTAAATCCTTCAGTACATATGTATTAACCTTAAAGGTGCATTCGTTATATTTTCCATGCTTTTTTTTAACATGATTGGTGTAATCGTTAAGTTCTTCAAGCTCCTATAAACACTATACGAGGATTTTGTTTCAATTGCCTCCGAGTCTAAGACGCCAACGTCAACCAACCTGCGAATAAAAAAATCAAGTTTACTCATCATAGTGAATTCGTATTGCGCTTCTGTATTGATAGGTTTATAAAGAAATATTGACAATGAGATGTTTGTGGTGATTGACGCAGACTACATCCTGATTTCAAAAGGTCTTGTGTGAGCAGTCCCGAGTACACGTACAGCACTCTCCTATTGTCCATATAGGTATTGGAGCTGCTGGCTCGTTCACCCCCAATTGTGCATTGCACAACTGGTGGTTGCGACCGCTAAGCCGTTTCCTCTAAAGTCAACACCAAACCGCTTTGGTTTGCTGTCGGCAAGGTAACGTCCCGAATCCCGATGCCGAAGCGTCTGTCCAATTCCAAAAATTCCTAAGCGGCTGGCCCTCCAGTCCAATTTTGAAACAAAACAAAAAACCCATTTCAACTATTTAACAGTGTTCTATGGAGGTCATATGGAGACCACTGTCAAATAGATAAATTGCGGTTCTTTTTTTTTGAAAACTCATAGTAATGTGAACTGTCTATTAATCATATTATGATTCTACTCACACGGCCACTTTTGCCCTGCTGAGGATATCTACTACCGTTCTGTCCTTTGCAAACAGATTAGCATTGAACATAATATGAATAGCTCTTTTATTTTTTTGACCACAAAATGGTGACCACTACAAATTACAAAGTCACTGTATACATAATACGTGTGGCCAACACACTGATCTGAGCAAAAAATGTCTTACTCACCTTCTAACAAATTCTAGAAATTCATTTGTATTATCTTCAAACGTATTTGGGAAACCATTGACTGTTCCATACAGGTCTGTAGTCACAGCAACAACTCCCAAGGACGATGCGGGAAAATTATACAGTAATCTAAATTAAAATTGAATGGAACCGTTTATTTCTAGGTACAATCAAGAGCACGTCAAGCTTGACACTGGACTTTGGACTTTCTTGTTGCAAGCGGTATAAAGTTGAATATAATTAATAAATCTTTAGTGTCAAGCTTGGATTTTTCTTGGTTTAGTTATCATGTCGTAGTGATTCTATAGATATATTTTTAAAGCTGAGATTTATAAAACGAGTTTTGAATTGCGATAACTGAAAACTTTAAATAAAAATAAAATTTACTCGCTACTTTTAATTAGTTAGTTAGTTTCTTATGTCTCAGTCCCTGTGTTAGAGCCCATTATTAAAGTCAATGTAATATAATATTAAGTAACTATAGAACTTCAATGACGAAGCTAATTAAAGTCAAGATAATAATTATTATAAATTTGTAATAGAACTTCTTTTTTTACTTTAAAAAAATATACCTATATGCTTATATGTATATTTTGGTCTCTGGAAGAAAGTAACAAAAATGTCGATGTGATCTGTGGTCAAAAAAGAAATGTAAAGCGGGTGTTAAAAAAAAATTAAAACGGAACGAAGTTTGAAATTGTAAAAAACTGGCGTGTATTGATCATATCAGCGTGACATGCTAGTTTGACCACCAAAAACGGCCTTATTTTTTTACTGGGGTTGTTTGTTAGGTCTAATGTTTGCACAACTATTTCCTTAATATATTTTAGTAATCTCTGAATTTCTGAAATCACTTGAATAGGGGTGAAGCACCATTATCGGATACTTATCTTTGAAAAATTAAAAAAATACTAATCAAAGCATAAGAACTTTAAATGAAACCTTAAAGTAGTCTTTATTTTAAGACCGATTAGAAATAATACAAATCCTTCATTTTCTAATTAAATATTTTAAAACGTACTGTAGTTTTACAAAAAAGGGAAAAAAATCAATGAATTTCAAAAGGATGCTTAGAACCAGCTGACCGGTTTTACGGTCCCAATAATATTTTTTGTGAATACGATTTTATGTGACAATAATTATTATAAATGAAACTAATTAAACAATTTGTTAATTTAAATTTATTAGCAATAATCAGACTTGTAATCTATCTTTGATTGGGTAATTAGGAACTTAATCATAAAAAAGAATTAACTTACATCTATTAGAGATCCTAATAAGGAACTTTAATATTCTTCAAAAAATAATAAAGTCAAACATAAAAATAAAACTATTTTAGACTTATATAGATTTGTTATAGAACATAAAAAAACATATCTATTAATTGCATGTATGAAAAGCTTTGAAGTTCTCATTTATAAAAGTATCCTAATATCAGATATCCAATATTAGGCTTACGTAGGTATCCGATATTAAGATTTCACAAAGCCAAATAACAACTCACTACGACTTAGTAAACATTATATGTTTGAAAATATTTATGCATTTATTTGTATTTACAGATGCTACTACCCCTTAATAACACTTTTTCATAGAATACTATATTATTTAGTATTGGAAAAAAGTTACGTGGTCTCACTGTTCTGCCATTTTCTAAACTAGTCAGCAGATTTTTTTACAATGGCGCCACTTTATAGTTGGCTATTAAAACATGAAATAAAAAATAGATGGCACTATAGAAAATAATCTCAGTACAGAGTACTAAGAAAACCTACCTCAAAAATACGTAGAATTACATATAATAACCAAGTTTTATTGAAATCGGTTACCGGAAAGTGCGCAAACCCGTGTTCATCCCCTAGTTCGCCACTATACGGGACTTGACACAGGAGATAATAAAAATCGGTTCTCCCTACTCAAAATATATTGAGAGAAAAACGCCTTGAAATAAAAAATATTGCTCATTATACTAAAATTTAGGCGCTATTTATAAAAATGAATCTTTATGCATGAACTGCCCTTAGAGGTGGACGATTTTCTTCAAAATTGAATGGGACCACTATGGAAGTACCCTCTTTCCAACAAAAACAGAATCGTGAAAATTGGTTCACAAATACCGGAGTTATCGCGTAACATACATACAAAAAAAAACAAAAACATACAGTCGAATTGAGAACCTCCTCCTTTTTTTGAAGTCGGTTAAAAAGAGATAGTCCACTATTCGAAATTAGGCAATTATCCGACATATGGTGCTTTTCCCCTACACTCCATATTTAACAATTGTTAGATTTACGACAACGTGTAGCGTTTACTTCATTGCACTGCATTAACTAAAGATGAGGATCACTAGCAAATACAGTGTAAAGAAGTAAAACTTTGCACGTTGTCGTAAAAAAATTAATATACTTTTGAAAAAAAATAATTGTCCGCTCATTTCTCACAAATAAACATTGATTTGGATTAATTTTTCTTTTTAAGTTATTTCTTTTGCTATTTATTATTAGTTTTTAATTGTATTTACTGATGTAATTAATTTGAATTGTTAATTTTAACATTGTAATAAGAGTTATTTGTAAAATACTAACATTCTCGCAGGACTATACTACACTACTAACATCATAAACAATAACTTTTGTTTCAACATTTTTAATAATTCATTAGATTTTCCTTTCTTATAAAATAAAAATATTTAAATAGATCGCTCTAAACGATGATAACTCTGTGCAAAACGTTGGAACATGTGTGGGGGACGGACCCTTGCAAGTTCAGGGCTCGTGCAGCGCGCCGGCGATTTATCGCGACTGCGGTCGCATCGACACGCAACGACTTCTAAGGACTAAATACAGTGTAGCATGAGCGCGACCAGCGACGTAACACTACCGACGACCGACCGATAGCTTAGTGAATTTTCGAATAATTATCACATCTACAGGAGAAATGGATATAGTATCAGAACTTTTTTTGTTAGAAAATTTCGTTTTACGGGTTCGTGCCATAGGAAGGATAAGAAGGAGATTTATTATTTATTTAATATCCAATTAATATTCTGCGGCGATTACGAACTACATCAATTAACCTATCTGGGTCCATTATTATAATTTTAATTACCTATTTACATAAGTAAGTATAAATTATTACTAATCTAATAATAAATATGAACATTAATTGATCATCTAATAGTAGTCGCAAGTGACTGGCGACGACTGATCGCTGCAAGTCTCACGACCAATGGTCGCCAGTCGCGGGCACGCTGCACCAAACCATTTAGTTCTAGGTACATCTTAAAACAAGTTGCAGCGAGTCCGTGCGACCGCAATCGCGAAATATCGCCGGCAGGCTGCACGAGCCCTTAACTTACTAAACACAGATCTAAAAAGTGTCAGATAGTACAACATATAAACTAACTTTATTTTTGGTGAATGTATTATGTTTTGTTAAAAGTCATGGAACAAAAGTTATTGTTTATGATGTTAGTAATATAGACCTGCGAGGTTATTATTTTACAAATCACCATATCGTATAGTCCGAAGTAAATATTTGATTTTAAAATCTCCATGAAACAAATGTACAATATTTAAAGTATTTTCCCTTCGCGTCCCATTGCCATGGGACTCCCTGTATAGATTACTTACCCATTATAATGGAGCCAATTGACAAGTTGTGCTGGCTGCCAAGCACAGCGGTAAAGGTTCCTGGTATCCATAGGTATCAGGTGAGCTGTGTGGAGTATTATGCACAACCATCTTTTGTTAGTCTTCAGAGCTTCGAGATAGCCGATGTTTAGGAGCTTTCCGACACTAAACGGTACAGATGTGTCATCTTTAAAAAAAAGCATAAAAAAACCTTTAATAGTTTTCAAAGGTAGATGTTTTTATTTATGGTTTTTAGTGCTATGACTGGTGGACACACAATATTAAGTTTACTCTGTATGCTCCATGTCTGATAATATCGTCATTATTTTCTGATGCACTAGAAAAATACCGATAACGCTATGCGTGTTGCGCGAATAATTATCACATACGGCTCCCTCGAATATTGCTGTTACTAAACAGTCGAAATGATACGAAAATAATAATTGATTGGTCAAAAATGTTGTACAATTGATTCCTCTATTATGCTATTTGTTACTAAACAGTAGTTTATACCGTCTGATAACGTCATCAGTATTTGCTGACATGCTAGGAATATTACTGATAATGCTATGCATGCTACAAGAGTAATTGATAATTATTATCAAACACGTCTCGAATATTGCTGTGTTATCTCGGGAGAAATGTACCTACTATTGGTTTCTTTCATTCTGTCTTCTGTCATTTGCTTCTCGCCAATAATTTAGATAAAATACACATTTATTGTGGCCTAAATTATAAAATTATACAGAAATCACATACGAGGTATTCACTTTTAAGACGGCGTTATGTAGTATCCGAAAAGCAAAAGATTTTCGTCGGAGGCGTTTCGTGCAGGCCACATTTAAAAAACCTATCGAAAGTCGAAAATACTCACGGAGTAATTACAAGCTTAAATTACTCTATCCACCGTCATACATACTAGAATTTAGCAATATTTGATTTAAAAAAAGTCATAAATCTTTGTATTTGGAGCAGTTAGTTGTTCTTTTTGTTGTTAGTTGTTTTGACAACCTCTGTGGTCGATTGGCGTGCACACCGGTGTCTATGAGGTCCCGGGTTCGATTCCCGGCCGGGTCAATGAAGAAAGTAACTTTTCTATGTTGTTTGGTGTCTGGGTGTTTGTGGTACCGTCGTTGTTTCAGATTTCCATAACTAACGTGCTTTATTTTAAATTTTGATTGAATACATATTCAATTATTTTTTGTGAAATTACTCCACTAGTTTTGAATTTTTTTTAGGAACTTTTTCTGAGTGTTCGATCTTTGTATTAATTGATTACAACAAACTAGTGGAGTAATTTCACAAAAAATAATTTAATATCCATCCAATAAAAATTTAAAATACAGTGAATAGCGACATCTATCGCCAGGACTAGTAGCTGTAAAGGTACTAACTGGGTGATAAATTTTTCATAGATTTCTCATAGATGGCGCTACGACTAAAAAGAAAAACCAAATACAAAGACACGACGCAAGCATAGGAAAATTCGTTGGGTCCGTTGGTCCGTTCCGTGGCTTAGTTGGTATAGCGTCTGGCACGGTATGCAAGAAGACGTCGGTTCGAATACGACCGGATTAAAGTGCTTTAGTTCATTGACTTACAATTATATGGACGTCGGCTCCGCGCTAAAAAGTGTCCGCACTTGTAAGGCGCTAGAATCGTATACAGAGCGCGACAGTCTTCATTTGTTCTACTGACAGCGCGACACTGCGATGACATTACAATTTAAATTTCGAATAGGTTGACTTGGGACATTTTTTTCGTGGTTTTTGTATTAGACCCGTCGTCCATTTATTTGTAAGTCAATGGCTTTAGTTACTTAATTTGAGGTGGATGCAACGTACGATGTTAGAATTCATTATCGCTAATATAAATTATTTCTTCTCATAACCAATTCAGAGATGGTCACAAACTTTACAGAACTGTATTCATGTGATAATTACAGAAATATTTATCAGAAATAAGAAGAAATATTTATCAGGTATCGAAATGGAAAATACCAGCCCTGCTCCCAGATTCCCACGATTATGATGTAGGTATTACAAATGTGAATAAGGAAGTAATATAATAAATCGATAATAAAAATAAGTGATGTGTTAAACACTAAGCCATTTCGCTGAGACGTCTGATATTTAACATACTTGATACTGTATATCTACTTATACTATTATTTATTATAAAAAAGAAAAGAACGTACTGTGTTCAACGATAAATAATTGGTACTCCAACTGCTGCCTCATGAGGAATGGATGAATGAAATTAGCAAATGCTATCAGCTCCAATCTTGTTCCACTGCAATTATTATTAAATTTTGTAATTTGTAATTTGTGATTTAAATTCAATTCTATGCTGCTTGGAATAAGAACTGTCCAAAGACCAAAGCTTTATGTACGCTTGACTATACCTACTTATGTGGTCAGGATTTATCTTAATTTTTTAACAGGTGTTAGTAGACAGGCTTAACGTGATTTTGGAGGTGGCCAAAAATGGCCTACGTCATCGGAAACGATGTTTTTTTGTTATTAACATTTTAAACTACCAAAGCGCCACATCGGCTCTTAACATTTAGTATTAAAATTATGGAATGTCAACATCTTTCAGATTTAAAAGCAATATTCATAGACGCGTATGTGTGGAGTCGCCCCCGTGGACTCCTTTCTCTCTAGTATAATGGCGTATTTACGCTAAGTCGACAGGTTGCCTTCACTTACTCGCCGAAGAGAGAGAACCTACCACGCGTAAACACTCAGTCGTTTACCGATCGCGGTTCGCAGTCGCTGGTGCGTCCCACCATTATGTGCGTGCTGGTAGCCAAACCTATCCGATTAGTTTGTTGAACATTTCGAAGAATATGTTGTGTTTCTGAGCGCAAACTTGTCAATGACTTGGTGATAGCTGACTCGGTGTAAGCAACGCGTCATTGTCGCCTTCTTTCGTCAGTTGAATCCGCTTGTCCAAGAGCGGCTCGGTGTGAACACGTGAATAGAAGCAACAAAATAATTAACTAAATTAACCTGAAAGGCACAATAATAGCAGCGTTCTGAAGAGCGCTGCATTTTCTTGATTTGTAGAAACCACCTGCTCGAAGATCCCCTTTGTTATCTTTGCGGAAATCAACGTCGAATGTGTTCGCGAAAGTTACTGGACCTGGAGAAGCGAATGATAATTCAGTCTTTGTAGTGTTTTTTGTACGGTTCTTGTTTCCAAAGATCTTGGTTTTGGGGTTTGATTTCGGTGAAGAAACAACCTGGGTGGATCCGCAAATATACGACCAGTTAAAATTAACACCCAGTCTATTAAGATTTAGTTAAACTTATCTTTGTATATTAATGCTTTTTTAGTTTGCTGTTCGTGAAATGCTGTACTAGTTTTAAGCTACCCTAGTTTCCTTCCACATCTCCCATTATTAATTTCATTATTCAGTTGCTCACAGTACAAAGGACATTAGCTTGAGACTTGATAACTGGTGTGATTGCTTGGCGCATTACATTATATTCTATCGCCTCGTTACTTTTGTTATTTTAGAATGCTCACTCAGTAACTTTTATAAATGTTCAAAAATAGTAATATTAACATAATTAATAATAATTAACTTACCCAAGTTTGGTGGTATATCAGGGCATAAGTAAGGTGCTATCGTTTCAGGATCTCTACCTCGTGTCATTGATTGCTTTTCTTTCTTATCTAGTTCTTGATCTGATTCGGGTTTCAGAGACGTTTCTGTGTTATTATACTCTGTACTAAACTCGGATTCATGAAAACTCTGCTGTAAAGCCTCTCTGTAAAAATGTGATCATACTGTCGAATTAAAGGAGATATTTATGTATTGTACCACTTTAGTCAGGACGAAAAGAGGCTCTCTTAAATGAAGGATGACTAGAAAACTCAAGGCACTTTATTTGGCACTGCACAAACCTACGTGGGCAAATCAAACATAAACAAGACATTTGGCCTTGCGCGCACAATACTGATACGTGAAGGGTCCTACTTTCAGAGGTCTCGGGCAAGAATAGAAGGAGTGAGAGACGCAGTCGTAAAGCGTCAGTATTCTTCAACAACGATGTCTCAATAAGAGTAGGTGTAAAACCACCCGAGATCCTTGCGAGATTCACTGAATAGAGGAAGACTGTTTTTTATATAATACCAAGTAACGGGACGAATAAGTCGTGCGCCTGGTGGCAAGCGACACGCCTATCCGTAACAGTCGCAGTGCCACTTAGAGCTTTAAATCGCAAAAATCTTACAGGCACTGCACTCAAATTCAAATCATCTTTGTTAATTAAATTCTACTGCTCATTCGTAAGGCAGACTCCCCTGAGAAGAATGAGCAAGAAATTCTATGGGTTGCTCTTTTACCTCTCGTGGAAGAATGTAATAAGTTTAGTTAAGTCTATCTACCGCGGCTATTTTACATATCTGTGTATATATGTGTAAAATAGCCGCGATAGATGGTTCATAGGGCCCGTGTTCTTGTACGAATCGGAAGATAAATGGCCAACGGAACGCGAGGAGTCTGTCGCGACTGAGGACGAGGTAGTCGTGTCGTACGCAAACGAAAAGGGCAGTTTCGATCACTTGCCCGACATAGGCCGGTTTTCTAGTTACGAAAGGCTCATTAAGACGCGAGTATTGGCTTCCGTAAATATATGTCGAGTTACGATACGTACAGGAAGCCGAACGTCTGTGGCTCTCGAAATCGCAGCACGACAATTTCAACGAGGAAATCGCGCGCCTTTCGCGTGGAAAACCGTTGTCGCGTAGCAGTAAGCATTTTAAATTAGACCCCGTGATAGGAAAAGACGGAGTCGTGCGCGTGAACGGTCGTATAAATGCAGCGCAAATCGAACAGTCAGGTCACCCGCGGTTTTGGACGGACGGAACGCGTTCACTCGACTTTAAGTTGATAACGTACATAGGCGCTCCGGACACGGCGGGCGCGAGCACGTCGCGAATGACGAGACAGATGTACTATGTGCTAAGATTACGTTCAGCCGTGAGTACAGTGTTACACGGGTGCACTTTCTGTCGTCTCAGAAAAGTTACGCCGTTCGTGCCGGCGTTCGGAGACTTACCCGCTGCGAGACTAGACGCGTATAGTCCACGTTGTTACGATAGGTAGGCGCCACGAAAAACGTTGGGGCGCATTATTCACTTGTCCAACTACGCGCGCGGTACAAGAACTCGCCGCGTCATTGACTACGGATTCGGCGATAATGGCGTTACGTAGAATGGTCACATGACGCGGCTGGCCGCGAGTTATGTACAGCGATAACGGAACGAATTTTAGAGGCGTCGATGCCGAGCTGCGGGTAGCTATAAAAGAATGGGAGCCCGGGCGCCTCGAATTTGCATTGACGCAGCGCATAAACAGGTGATATATCGATCCGAGCGCGCCGAACCAAGGGGTCGCGTGGGAACGATTAGTGCGGTCGATAAACACTGTGTTATCAGTTACCTTTCAGGATAGAGCGCCAAAGAACGAAGATTTGTTAAACTTGCTCGAGGAAGCAGAATACACTATAAACGCGCGTCCGCTCACTCACGTATCGCCAGATCCGGCCGAGCCCGAGGCGCTCACGCCAAACCACTTCTTGCTTGGGCAACCGAACGTACTGCCCATTATCGGAACGTGTGAGAGTACAGATAGACGTGAATGGCGAGCGGCGCAAGCGTTGGCAGATACTTTCTGGTGCAGATGGGTTAGGAAATATTTACCGCAGTTCATTCCGCGCGGGTCACCCTCCGATTCAAGTAGAAATGTGGACGTCGGAGATTTAGTCCTAATAGTAGACTCTACGTTACCACGGAACGTATGGCCGCGTGGGGAAATAGTGAAAATCTACCCGGGCCCCGACGACGGCACAGATAGGAGCGTAGAAGTTAGGACGCGGCGGGGTGGTATTTTTAGACGTCCGGCGCGTAAGTTGGGTGTGTGTGTGGACTGAGGGACCACCTGATTTTTTTCAGGGAATTTTGTAATTTTAATTATTTCTTAATTAGTAAAAGAGCGACAGACACAAATCAACAGAGATTTTTTATTTTGTGGACACCCTACTACATTCAGAGTTAGGAAATATTGAAAAGCAATTATCTTGTCTAATGAGCTACCAATCCATTTAAAAAAAAAACATTTATATAGTAAAGCTTTTTTACTAAACCGCAATAGGACGAATCTTTCCATGTTCGTTATATTTTAGGATATTTTAATTCATTTATATTTCTGTAGTATGTGAACTGAGGGACCACAAATAAATATGAAATTTACGAAATTGGCTCGTAATCGTGGTTTTGTTTTACTTTTACAATCTTCCTTGTGATTTTTACTAAAGTTTGCAGAGAAATAATATTTTGTTTGTTATGTAATTACTCGTTTATACGTTATTTATATGTGGTCTCTCAGAGACCATATAAAAACACTGTAATAATATATAATCATTGCCAAATTACGTTTTGTTCATTGTGTAAATGTTTAAAGATGTTTTTACTAAATTTCTATTAACAAAATATGCCAGCAAACTAAATACTTGCCTAGAAGTGGAAGCTTTGGTGTGAGAACTGAGGGACCACACCTTAGGTGGCATAGTTTTTTAATAAATTCTTTACAAATTCCAGTATACCTTTTACAAAATGCGTTACAACTTGTACTAAACGTACCTTTACATTCAAAGTCATTACAACTGGGAAAAACTATGTGGTCCCTCAGTTCACACGCACACTAAGTTGGCCGTCCTCCCCAAGTACCTAAATAGACTAGGTTTTGTTTTGATTATGTTTAGAATAAGGATAAGATTTATATTTTTTGTATTTACTTTTTACACGTAGGTTAAGATTGATTTGTTTTGTATACTTTTTAGACTGTTTGTTTTATCTTTTTTATACTATCTTATCTTTTTATTTTTATTGTTTACCTAGCCTTAGCTCGTAAGACTACACTGAGGGGTGAATGTTACGGACGGCCGTTCAGAGCTAGAATTGAGAGGAAAATTAATAATTCAGGAGCTCTGATTGGCCAAGCGGCGGCGTAGCGACCAATTGATAGACACCGTACCGGTCCATAAGTATAAGCGAAATTTGTTATTTGTGTTCATTCGCTTTCTTTCGCTCTAAGTTGTAAGACGTGATCATGTTTGGTTGTAAGTCAGATAGACATAAGTTTTAATGAGAATATACAGTCCACTTCTAAGATAAAGGAGTTTCATTTGAGGAAGGATACAGAAGACAGTTCCTGATCAGATTCGGATTGGGGCAGGGTTTTTTTTATATATATAAGCTGTAAGCTTTGTGTTTCTTTTATAATTTTGTTTTACAATGTTGTCTATTCTGGCTACGAAATATATTTTATTATAATAATATATTTATTATAATAATAAAAAGGTACATTCAAATCTATAATCCAATTATTAACAAGATAAACGACTTCGAAAAGTGAATACATTTCCCGAATAAACCTTTATGAAAGTATCGCTAATGTGGATTAGTGGAATTGACAGTTATAGGAATAACAGAATTGATTAATATTTAAAGAATAAACACAAAAATCTGATTTGATTCCTATACAAAATAATGTCGATTGATGAATTGTATTGGGAACCAAAATGTTTGTTATATTATGTGTAATAACTATTTTACGGGTGCACGAGAGGAACCTCTGCGTTAGCGCGGCAGCCGCGTCACTACTAATTTCATATCTGCAAAAGTGGCGACTGTACCGCTGCAACTGCGCTTCTAAATATTGTATGAAAATTAGTAGTAACACCACAGACACGACATTGCAGTGTTGCAATTCATATTCCTTGTGGGTATGTCTGGCGCATCCTGGGCAAAAATCAGCGAGAACCTATGCCGATTGGGTAATCCTTTCACCATCATGGTAAACAAACAGGTCCCATAGTTGGGGCTGTAAGGCCATCGACACAATAAGATGTTGTACATAATATGCTCAGTGGGTACTAACGTATCTCGATGCCCGCCAAAAGGCTTCTCTTCTCGCCCTAATTTTCTGCTAGTGTACAACAAGTAGCCCAAGTTGGCACTAGCTAGAATGCCAAAACTTATCATCAGCAACCGAAGGGAAAATATTTGATTCCGTAGGCAAATATTGATTTTATGGCGGAAGCGTAACGTAGACGAGTTTGTGTTCGTCGCCATTTATATTTTTCATGTACTACATAGAAAAACTAAAATAAGATTTTTTAGAAATAACACAAAATGTAAAAATACAAAAATGACAAACCACTTCAACTTCAACTTTTGTGTCTATGGCTCCGTCGTTTTGCGCGACGATTTTGCCAATGTCAGGGTTGAGAGACATGTGTAGCGGTAGTGAGATAGATTGCCGGTTATTAAAATACTTCGGCGGTTTTTATTCACAATGACGGTTATATATATATTTTAATGACATTACAAACCACAATTATGATTATTTCGGCGGCCACTACGCTTGTGCCAGTGTCAGTTTTATAAGAATAATCATAATAAATGTCCTCAGTGGGACAGAAGCAAAATACACAAAAAAAAATTAAAAAAATTAAATTTATGGCGCTCATCGCTAGTGTCAGTTTTATTTTCATTATACGGTTATTCTATGAATTCCTCAACGATTAGAGCAACTTTTTAATATTTTTGTCTTTCGCAGCACATTACAGTTTAACTTAAAGGTATAATAATGATTTATTTCTCAAACACAAATACAAATCTTACATTAAGTGGACCCTAGCTTAAATATAAGAGCAATTCGTGAAATACTGGAGTCCGTACTAGGTACTAGACCTGTGTTACAGCTCACCAGGCTCTCTCCCCATCGGACAACTCATACATTATATCTTAAAGGATGGAAAAAAATAAAGGAACATTATATTGACCTGTAGGCTTAGAGGATGGAAAAAAAATAAAGTCTAGGCCTGTAAGTGTCGAGTGTCAAACGGTTCAGTTTGAAAGGGTAACCCTAACTAGCCGTGAACAGGTTCACGGCAATGAAACGGAAACTTCCGGTCCCCAAAATTTACTAAAAGAAGTAAACTTAAAAGAAAGGGCCCTAAATGGGCCGAGTAACTGAATTACAGATATAGGTACATGAAGGCTGTAGACTGTTATAAATTATTACACATTATTTAGCTTATTTAATGATTATAAACGTAGTAAAGAACCAAAATTAGCGATTATACGCGATGGAATTTGAAACAGCTCCGACTGTTGTGGCGGTCGAGCAGGGAGTGACCGTGGTACGAGAACAAAATGAGAAAGTGAAGGAAGATGGAACAATTCAAAGCAAAAATTTAAATACAAGTAAAATAAAAAATGATAGGATACAAGCGGAGAGAGGCGATACAAAAAGGTGAGATGACAAACAACAAAAAATATATAAAATTGTCAATGTGCATAACAACCGTTTAAGTATTTTGATAACCGGCAATCTATCTCACCACCGCACTGAGCCCTTAATAAATTAGTCTTTTAACCCTGACTAGAAAACAACAAGTAAAGAGAACGGACACTCTCCGCCCCTCCCTAGCTTTAGATACCACACCATGCCCCGCACATTGCCGGTCACATTGACTGAACAACAACAAGGCTGCCGGCGAGCCGTTTTTGTACGAAGACGGCTTTGATATTTAATAAAGTTTTAATTTATTTATTACGAAACATGTACGTTAATATAAAACATCATTTTACGTTACTATTTATAATGGTCGTGAATTGTGCTGTGTACGGCTGTTTATCATCATTTTCCGAAAGATGAAACGTAGTAAGTAAAAAAACTTATGTCTGAGATTCATTCAGTTATTGTTTTCTTCATTTATGTACTGCAGAGTAGTATATGTATGTATAAGAAATACTGATTTATTATATCAACATAATGAGGCTCCATGACTTCGTGAGCTAGTAGACAAGGGTTCTAGAATTTTCAATTCATTTTGCCGATAAATATTACGTAAGTAGTGAATATAATTGTTGATAATTAATGATGATCAACTTGGACACGCACTTTCAAATACCTTGGTTACCTTATTTAAATAAGGTATCCAAAATATAACATTTTAAGTGCTTTTAATATATTTTTTAAATAAATTTTCAATATTACTCTAGTTAATGAATTAATGAAAAATATGATATTATATCGATATAAGGAGACATGTGTAATTATTAGGATTCTGGATTATATTAATAGAATAATAGATAATAGCTTCGCGTTAGCATTTTCGCTATGTTGCCGCTCTGATCACGTAACGTAATAGTGCAAAAAAGTGATGGGTAACCCTGCCACTTCACGTGCACATTTGCGCGTATGCAGATAGCGCCTTGCTGTAGTAGTAGTAGTAGGTAAATAATTTTCGACTGTTGTATGGAGTGTCTGGGGTGTGCCCTGACGTTGGCGAAATCGTCGCGCAAAACGACGGAGCCATAGATACAAAAGTTGAAGTTGAAGTAAGTTAGTGTATGTTAGATGTAAATTAAGAGTGAAAGGTAATGAGTTTTTCAGTGTTATCATAGTCTAGTTTTATCAACCAATTAGAAATAATATGTTTACAGTCATATCCGCAAAGTCTATAAATTTAGAGTAGTAAAAATTTATTGTATAAATATTATGCGGCCAATAATAAACAATATAAGAAATCTTTTTGGTTTTTTGGAACCTAATCTAGTATTAAAAAAAGATACGCACGTTTCGCAATGACATGTAAACAATGTTAAATGTCATTTTGGTATCTAGCCAGCGTAGGTAGTTTTTGCAAAATTTTCTTTGAAATATGCCGAAGTACTACAGGTTCAGGGCTTTGACGCCCACCCGTAAACCTAAACGGAGCAAAGACAAGGACAGAGAGAAGGAAATGACAAAGTAAGTGTAGGTGTATAGATACACCTACTACTGCTTTCTGAAACTCACGGAATCAATATCAATCCACACCGACGATCCTGGCACCGGAGTGTCGTACTTTTCGAACCCATCCCTATTAGTATAGTAATTTTCAGGGCGGAGACGGAACGTACGTGGCTGGATTCGATCGCGCTTGCGTGTGCGCCCGCGCCGTCATGGTACCTGCGGCGTACGTCGTGGCGCCAGTCCCCGCCACTCATGGGTCTTCCACGCCAGCTCTCCACCACACTGCGCTCCTCCTTCCATCTCAGCAACCGTCCTATTTTTGTCCTCAAAATGCCCGCCACAGAACTCCTCAAAATGTGACGTGACAAGGACGTAGTCACTCAATCGGTTCAAAAAAATCCAATTCATCTTATTTTACAGATCTAATTTTGAATTTTAACACATTATTTTTATCAACAAGCATGCTTTACGTAAATCTGTGAGTTCCTCATGTGCTATAAAATACAAACGTAAGGCCTATTTTCGCAAAACGTTGACCTATGGATTTGTATTCATGACCTATAACTTCGTAAAAACAATAGGAATATTAAATAAATATTGTAAATTCGACAAGTACACTTCAATGTCACTTTAAACTTTTTTGTTTGTTATGTAATTGTAATAAAAATTTGACTGTGTTCGTTACGCATAAAGTCCTAAAAATACTTGTGCATCTTATTGTTTGATAATAATTAAATTGTCTATTTTGTGACAGAGATATTCAACTTTTTTGTTATTATTTGTTTTTGTTATTATTTATTTAAATAGCTATTGTAGGATCCAATTAACATTTGATTTTGGTGGATTGAAATAAAAACAAACACGTTAATGTTCTGAAAACAAACAATATATTTATAAAAACAATAAGGAAAGAAACCAATGGGCTATTACCTTCCCTTAAGTAACTCACTGTCTAATCTTTAATAACCTACTTAGTCAGTAAATTGGATGGCTAAGCGAATACTTTGGATCAGGTTCATATTGGAATATGAGCTGGTTCTTCATTCGCACTATTTTGGCGTGATCGCTGATGAAGAGTTGGTTGCTAGTAAATGTACATGATCGCGTACCATTTCGCTTGGAAGCATCTAGACAAAATGTCGTCTAGAACACATATTCCCCGGTTTGGAATGATACGTATTCCAATAAACCTGAATTAAATATTAGGCACTATTTATTTCGCAAGTATAAAAATTTATTTAACATTATGTGTATAGCGCGAGTGAAGAGATTCTATTTATTATAAAACTCTCTTAAATTTAGCTTGATTGGAATGACTCGTCAGCAAAATTATAACGATGTTAAATTGTTTTTATTTATGTATAAAATTATTTTTATTTTTTTAAGCAAGAGAAAACGATAATTATTTTATATATTTACGTTACCACCCAATATCATACGGTAATTGATTTTTGTTTCATAATATCAAGACAGGACGAACAAGTCGTGCGCCTGGTGGTAAAGGATACAAATATTTCTCCCGGCCCGGGAACGAACCCGGGACCTCTGCATGGCAGGCCAGCATTGTAACCGTTCGGCCACGAGGTAGTTTGATTGATGAGTTTCAGCTACTGACATGATAATTATAACACTTTAAAATGTCATTGGTCAGTAGATATATTCAACATCGATTCTCGATTTTACTGATCATGTCCCCTCACTGGTTCATGAAGTTTGAAATTTGTCATTCTAAACAAGTTAGGTACGGAGTTTATTTCATTTCTTGGACGATGGAAAAACTAAGATTTCATTTACATTCGAGAGTATTGCTAAATGACACAAAATGGGGTGAATTACAAGTCAAGGCAGCAAATTGAAACTCATTTTTGGATATAATAACTTTAGACACACTGGCGCAGTCGAAGCATCGCGACGCGTTATTAAGGTATTTGTGTGATGCAAATATGGAAACGCGCGTTACTTGTGCACAGTGAGGCGTCAGACGCCTACCACACTGTGATCCGGGCGCACTAATGCGACGGTCGCCGAGCATTGTAATTGAAAAACATGACGCGACGCGACGCTTCGACTCTGCGCCAAAGTCGTGGCGGTGGCACTGTCAGGCGCCCAGTTTTGTAAACCTTTACTTCAACTTTAATTCGTAATTTAGTAAATTTTATTAATTCCCGCGCCATATTTGATTTACAGATAAGTATAAAACATTTCTACTTATTTCTTAGTTTATTGACTTTTTTTAATAGAATGCCTTAAAAAATTGTAATCTAAATAATAATATTTTAAACTAAACAATAACATAAAAGGGTCCCAAAAATAAAGCTATGAACACACTACACAATCCATGTGTCAGGGACATTCAAAAGTCTGTCAATAGAAAGTTCAGATCTTTTATGTTTACTTACCTATATGATCAAATTTTTGTTACACTATTTTCAGTACGATTATATTTACGTAAAGGTTTTATCAGTATGTACAACACCACTCGTAACTCAATAAGCACGCTGAAATTAGTATCATATAAATGGGTATTTGGCAAATTTGAATTGGTAATTATGCCACAGGGATTGTGTTACATGTCTCCTGCTTATACATATCGAAACTTACCACGAAGGCATTATAAAAATAATAATAATTAACACTCAGGCCGTTAATGACTTACAACACGGAATCTATCATAATTTGTTTACTGCATAGCAGAAAGGATTATTCTTTAACTTTAAAATTGAAATTTTTCTATCGTTATAGAGCGATTTTCAACAAATGTATTTATCACATTTTCATCTTATAATAAAATAAATAATGTAATTATAGTCAGGTGGGCTAAGAAGAACTTTATTTTGAGTGAGTATTTTGAGCGTTAGGAATAATATATCAAATATTATAAGAATTTTGACGTACACTAAACTTGCCTTTGTTTATCAGCTTTACATGTTTTAACAATCATTGCAAGTGCAAATTGTGCTAAGGTTTCTCTTCCCCGAAAAGATGGGGTTAGAAGGTATTTTGATTTCACTACTGTCAAATTTCTTTTTTCCATCTTCTGGACATCGATGTCGCTACATTGCTCCAAAAGCAATGTAGCGACATCGCTTTAAAATAGTTTAAACCATACGTTAGTCTTTTTTATAGGCTGTGAGACTATAGTGTTAACATAGTTAAAGATTATGAGTGAAGGTTTCAATTCCCTCTGCCCCGGTGTTTCTCTTATCCCACCTGACCCTACATGAAGATAAATTCATGAAGTGTTTTGTGATGCCGTTAATCTCAAATAATTCGTTTACTAAAATGTTCTGACTTTCAATGTGAAATGGTAATATTTTTAAAGTAATAATGCGGTTTATTTTTGTAGCGAGGGCTTTATAATAATAGTTTCTTCCTACCTACCTACAAAAAGTTATTTATATATAGATAATTTTAAGTACGCGTTTTGCCGTTGAAATGGAATGCAACAATTTTAGGCCGATTGTGGACGGCGACTACTTCACTAACAATACTTGGACCTCAACGCGCTCAATCGTCTGCACCCAGCCTATTTAAATGTTTTTTTTTGTTTTATAGCTTTGGCAACGAACCTTTTCAACTTTTTATATAGTATATGTTTTGTTGCATTCCTTTCGATCATAACTTATTTAGGAAAAGATATCCCAGCTTGTCTTCTAATGTGCAATAAAAACTAGTGCATCGTTTTATTATGCGTTATATACAAGAAATATAAAATATGTATACATAAAAAGTTTAAATTATAATTCAAATTTAAGTAATTAAAAATATAATTCTTATAGTTTCAGATCTAATATGCTAAAAATATATCAAATGATAACTAATTACAAATTCGAGCATAAAACACTGATAATTCAAATTGTTTTTCATACACATACATTATTATTTTTAGTAGGTATGGTAATTAAATCCCAAAGTAACTAATACAACCTATTAAGGGTATTAGTTAATTTGGGGAAAAATATTGTCACAGCATGAGATTCAGTTAATCTTCATGACTATAATATCTTTGCACGCCATATTGGGATGTCGTAAGCAGCGAGACTTATTAGAATCTTTCTTTACGCTTAAAACTAGAAACAAAACTTTATATTTATAAATAAATATATATAGCATAAATAATCATACTTGTAAGCTTTTCTCTAATTGAAGACGCATAACGTACAATAACATTTTATGTTTGTTGTATAGCTCTACAATTATAAGTAATTTTTTTTACATATTGTTTGCCTAAAAACTAAAGATTTCACTAACGCCTTGAAATGCAATAAAGTAAAAACCTAAATAATAGAAGTAAATTACGTTAATTAAGATTCTTTCAGATTCGGCAAATTTGGCAGAAATGCTCCAAATTATTTTCTATACAATATTATTTACCTAAATTCTGTCGACATTTTTTAAAACCTACAAGTATGTCTTAAACGAAAACTTATTTTTTCGAATGATATCTTAGCTTTCTATTAAACACTAACAATACCAAACGAGTATTACAAAAACATTGCAGGTTTAAAAAAATTTCGAAAATACTTAACTTATTGAATCTGGTTTTGAAATAAACATTATTTTGTCTTATAATAATGAAGAGATCCATTATTCATTAGCACTGGGGTAACCATCGTATAGATATCACATCGCAATTCTGTGCAGAACGTCTTGTCATTACACTCGTTTTCTAATTTTCACGGCTTTGGATTATTCCACTTTTCAGCGTTCACGATCCTTTTTCACCACATTTTTGGAGTCAACGTTGAGTGTGTTACCTTTGATCGCCAAACAGTAGTTTGGCGAAATACATCCATCAGCTGCTCTCGTCTATGTTGACTGTTATTAGAGTGTACAGATGGTGCTTTACGACATTTTGGACAACGTATTCCAAAGTGGACAATCCGTCTTTTTGGAATGTTTTACTTGTTTGTGACAAAAGTTTATATCTGAAATTGAAAAATTATTTTATTGAAAACTAAAAATTAAATTTCAAACTCGTAGTGGCATTAAAACCCCAGAGTTAACAAAAAGGGTGAACTCTAAGGGTACACTTTAACTTTTACTTAAAAAAAAGCACCTGAGACCGTCTCAATTTTACAAAAGTTGTATCAGTTTATTATTTATATCGTTATGAGTGTGTGTGTAAAAAAATCTAGTAACGCCTCTAACGGCGTTCGTACCAAACTATCATAAACGGAACCAATTAAAACCACTTGGAATTAGTACTTTTGTTTAGTTTTTAATTAGTTTAATAATTACAAAAACATTAACACGGTTTTACTTTACACTCTTAAACCTAAACTGATTTGTATGAGTGTTGCAAGCCCTCTAACATAATTTATAAAATAACAATTTTATTAAATGTAAACAATATACGAAAAAAAGGAAATATATAATGAAGGTATAACGCAAAAATATATTAACAAAAAGTTAAAGTTAAAATAAATTTACGGGCGCTTTTAAGTTAGACACAAAACGGCCAAACTTGTGACTGTAAACATTTTTGCACTGTGCAACTGCGCTTCTAAATATTGTATAAAAATTAGTAGTGGTGCGGTAGCAGCGCCACGGTGATGCCGCTTCTATAAGCGTCTAATTTGAAGGTTTTATTTTATACTCATGTCTTGCTTTCTTAGTGTTTCAGAAAAACAAGTCTGAGTTAACTATGCAGAACTCAAAATAAAAAAAGATGTAATTAAAAATAATAAATATTTAACACTTATATTTACCTCTTAGGATTTGGTGTAGAGCTCTTATGTGCTAACATAGCGTACCGGGCTATAGACATCTTATATCGGGCTATGTGGTAGCCTTCGAATTTTAGCCTGTAATTAAACAGAATAGTGTTTAAGCAGTTTACAATATATTTTTTTCAATTTTTGGTTAAAGCTGAGGATAATAACTGAAGTTGGTATAAAATGCCAAGGTCCTAGAAACCTTAGAGGATAGAAAAAATAGTCTAAGCTAGAAACCTGTCACATATCAATGACAGGCTGATTGGTTCGTATGAACTTGACATTCAATAAATAATTCCGATTAATACGATTTTTTTAAATACGGAGAGAAACAACAGTGGCATAAACATTAAGATTTAAATCTATTAGATTAGATCAATTTGATTTGAAATGATAGAATGTATAGTGCGGCACCGTGAGCATCCTCGAGGCTGCGTGAGACTTGTAGCGATTAGTTAAAAAAAGCACCGCGTCAGCTCTTCCGGCCATTGCGCGCCGCTGTGTCTGATCTTAGGGCTGTTGAGCCTTAAGGTCAAGACCCACTCACAGTTGTGAGTTGTCACACTGGCGCAGAGTCGAAGCGTCGCGACAAGTCATATTTTTCGCCTATAGCATATTGATCTCTATTTTCCCATTATTAAGGTACAAATTTATGTCATGCAAATATGGAAACGAGTGCCGGCGCGTGTCGCTGCGCGTTACTTGTGCCGATGCTTGTGTGAGTGAGGCATCAGACGCCGACCACACTTTGAAGCGGGCGCGTTATAGTTGAAAAACAGCGCCGACTCTGCGCCAGTGTGAGTTTAGCCTAATTCTCATTTTTTTATTCTTCAACGTCTCCGTGTAAACATAAGGAGTTGTGTATCTCATTTCGCTAATTCCAGATATATAATAACTCGATTTCGCAAAATTTTCGATATGTTGGTTATGACATGGACCAATAAATCAAGAGAACTGTTAATCGTGATGCGAGATAGCGTAGTAGGGTATTTAGTACCTATTGGTACACCAGATGTCGAGACGAGTGCCAAATAGCTATTTTTGTAACTAATTTGTTTTACATTGACATGCTGAATTACAGCATGATAAATTTATCAATGCTACTCTAGTAATAACAAACAAATCGCCGAGATGGCGCTTATGGCAAAGATTTAAGTGGATAGTGCCGTCAATTCTGTTATCTTGTTTAGGATTAGCGCCATCTAACCATATTAGGAAGCGTTAATTTATAAATTAGTTTGTAACATACAATGCAATCTATTGACACAAATATTTGTCAAAGTTCAGAAAATAATTTTAACTCATGATCAATATTTGAATAATATTAAAACGAAAAAAAAACTGTCTTCGTATATTTCATACATCGAGTATATAACGAGAAATAGAGACGAAATGTCATTTAATTTGTTTGAAAACTATTCTGCCATATCATTACTGTGACAACTACGCTCCGATTGGCTAGCCCGAGTTCGAAACAATTGACTGTCGGCTGTCGTCAATGGGTGTCGACCAGTTAACTTGAGCTTTGCTATAATGGACGAAAATTGCAACTTTACATATTTAATATTTAATTACCGATGAAATGTGATTGCGTTTGTTTTGTAATTAGATATTTTGCTGTTTTTCCCACACCACCGAATAGAACAGCACGGCATTGTTAGAGATATTATCTTTATTATAATAAATACAGAATATTTTTTGGGATATACGGAGATCGACATACAGGTCAGTAGTTGGCCTGTCTATATTTCAGTGCAAACGAGAGTTGATATTTATAAGAGCTGTATCGCTAATGTGTCACCAGGACTATATGGCCCTTATTTCGTCTCTATTTCTGGTTAGATGCTCGATGATTTCATATTAAAGAAGAATTAATTCACATCTATGGCTATTTACATAATATAAACCCTTTGGTCCATCTACGTAACTATTTTTCATAACTATAACTCATTTTGTATCTAGCTACGAAAGTGGACGCTTTTTTTCTTCTTTTCATAACTACTAAAATGCAAAAACCAAATAAAATTTTATAGATAGCACGGTTGTTGGGTACGTTAACTACGATAGCGTACTTGAGGTTAAAAAATGACAAATTAGCGCCCGACTATTTCCAAACTATTGATCTGGGGGCCTACTCTCGTTCTCCATCCGACATCCTTCCAAAACAATTAATGTCAAATAAGTAATAACTCCACCAAATTAAAACACAATGTCAGATATGAAGCTTCATTCGCATCATGCGTTTTTAATTTAGTCGAGTATTACTTATTTGATAGCAATTGTTTCGGAGAGATGGCGGACGAAGAACGAGAGTACGGGCAGCCAGTACCATCTAGATATAAAACGGTATTTTGACCTTTTTCAGATATACGCGTCCCGATTTTGATTCAAATCGGAATTGATGCGATTGGGTAGTCTCGAAATCAGATGAGTTTCTGAGCGAGAAGATGAACCTGATTCCTACTATATCTTTCTAATTTGGGAGTTCCGATTAGAAATATCAAAAGTTTCCGATCGGCCAGTTGTGAATAGCACTTATGCGCCTCGACTCGGAAAAGACGCAGTTTCCGATCGGAAGAGGCAATCAAAATCAAGCTGCTGATCTGTAGTATGAGATTAGAAGTCCTTTTGAGTTATTGGTTATGATAAGGAGGGCAGATATATTTCGCTATGTAACCAGTCGTAGTACATGATAAGTTACCTTGCCTTTATCTTTTTGTATGTAAACATTATGATGCGATAATCTTATGGCTATTATTGCTTGCGATAGTACCGTACGATTTCTCGCCACGAAGCGTGCGATAAACGTTCCTTCTAAAAGGGCCTCAATGTACTAACCTATAAGCCATGTCGTCGTCTTCACCACCCCATCCCCAATACTTATTGGAGAAGCCGTTTACTTTGACGAACTGCTCGTAAGTCATCGCTGACACTCCGCCGAATAACTCTTCGTAAAGTAACCTTGAAATAAAAGGAAAACGAAATTGAAGTTTTGACCATTGGGTATTTTTGCGGTGTACCTACAAAACAGCTAAGAGCCAGTCTCTCTTCAGAGTGCTCTTTTCGTGACTTATTAAAAATAATTAATATGTGTATGACCTTGTCCATAAATTTAACAAACTCATTTTTCTAGGGCGTGCACGACACATATGAGGTCTGTGCCAAAAGTATCCGGCCTTCGTTCGTTCTTCCGCGCTGGGTTTATTAATCATTACCCGGCTCGTGGCATCCTTCAAAGTAGTCTCCATTCGACTGAACAAACACCGGTGCTTCCAAAGTCAAAATGTAGCCAAAGTGATGTTAAATTTGGGAATAGCCTTCAATGCACTCGTGGCATTTTTTTAATCGTCCCTGTGTCGTCAAACCGCCGCCGCCGCCCTTTAATTTGTATGCGTTTGGTGTCCGCCGAGAGGTTATCTATTGCTCCGACAATCGTGCTATTTTCGCACAAATTCCGATAGCCGCCTGAAGCTCACCTCTGAGTCCACGAGTTCGCTATAGAGGAATGGGCCGGGTGTAAAAGTTTTCTACGGTCCTCCCAATACAACTTTGTGCGGTACGACCTCCACCTCGGTTTTACCGCAGTGACAGGATCCCGCGTCGGAAACCTCAACCTGTGGAGCTTCCTCCGAAAGCAACCATCGCCTGTCAGGATCTGTACCGTCTTATAATCCGGCTGTCCCCAGTCACTTTGAGTCGAGTCGTCACACCCGGAGATAATTGACATAGTTCCCGCCCCTTGTCCGGTGTAAACTGTCTAGCTGACGGAATGTGGTAACCGCCACTTATGGACATTTGCGTAACTAAAACGTATTTATAATCGCCCTAAAATATAAAAATGTAGCCGGTGGAACACGAGATTTTAAGTTCCTTCAATAAGGAATACATCAGAGCTACTTCGTGGGAATGAGCCCAGGGAACTTTTAGACGGAAGTTAACGTAAACGCTTGTGTTGAATGTTGTTTTTCATGCAGAATTAATTACCCCGTCCTCCTCCCCACATAATTAATAAAATAAATAACACAAACCCAATTACAATCACAACCACCACCAACATCTAAAAGAGTTCTCGAAATGGGCTCGGTCTACTATCGCGATTTCGTAGATTCGAAGGCGAAATTGAGGCGACTATGGGAATTCGCGGGGAAATGGCACAAGCTAAGACGGTGGAAGCTATTAGGCACATTATTAGCCGGGACAATGCACCTAAACAGAATCGCGGACCGTGGCCAATATGTAGTGTAAAACTTACTGATACTTAAACTTGTCAATGGCAGCAGACATGTGCCGAGGTTGTCTTGGACAGGAGTACGTGTTCCGCTCGTCCATCGGCAGCAAATCGACGTCATGGAAGACGAAGCACTGCCAGCCTCCAGACTTTTGCTTTTGGCTCTCTACGAAGCCAACGTTGAATAATTTCGCACGGTTGAAGTCTGATTTTCCTAAAAGTTTTCAAAAGAGCGTTGCGTTTACACGTAAAACTTTATAGGATTTTTTGGTATAAGGCAACTTACGAACACTTTAGGAATATTATTTAAGATCCCCTCGACCAGTCTAAGGATTTCTAGAAAACGATTTGGTTATTTACCATGACGGTCGTAAATTACCTATATTTTAGAGCTATTTCAAGGTAAAAAAACAGTTTAGACAAACACAAAATCTCAAGAACATAGAAATTCATAACATCTTACTACTGACTTGATCTGTAGATCAAGCGCAAGCGGTGAGAATTTTTCATTTTGTTGCTCGATCTTTCTTTCAATAATTATAACAAACAAGTCTATTTTCACAAAAAATATATGAATATCATAGTAAAACATTATCAATACGTAATTAAATCACCACAAATATTTAAGTAGAGTTATTTTAAGTTCTTTCGCGACACACACGTCCGTCACTCATCTGGGCTCAGGGCTCATTTAAAACAAGCGCTGCAGTCAGTTATGGCCATAGATTTAGTATATGGTTATGGCTGTGGTTTATGCTGAATGAAGTGCTTTTGCGTACGTCACAACCGCACAAATGACAGTACAAAATTTGTAGTTATAATTTGTTTTTTGTCAGATTTGTGTTATTTAATTTTTTTTTATATTTTATATTTTGTTTATTAATTATTATTTCTTTGATTTTGTTTTTCTTGTTTGTGTTATAATTTTTTTTGTATCTATGTTGTGTTGTGGCGTTGCAATAAATGTCTATTATATTCTATTCTGATATTCAATAAATATTGTTTCAATGTAGTTTTAATTATAATTAAGTTAATTTTATGTATATTTAGTTAATTGAATGTGTTTGCATTTTTTTTGTGAAATTACTCCACTAGTTTGTTATAATGATTAATACTAAGATCGAACACTTGGAAAAAATTCTTTTGATCCGGCTGGATTCGAACCAACGTCTTCAAGAATATACCGTCTGATACCATTCCAGACCGAAACCCAACGAACCTTACGAATTTTTTCCCGTAGCGCCATCTACGAGAAATCTGTTTCTTGACTCAGCCAGGTACCTTTACAGCTACCAGCAGCTGACTAGAGATGTCGCTTTAATAATTGTAATTAAAGCTTATTGAATCTCAGGATGTTTCACTATTGATGATATTCAGATATTTTAATTAATTTAGTTTTAATTAATTATTAAATATACAAGGGCACATTTAAAGGAGAGAAATACATACCTCCTTGTTCTATGATAAATATCCCATATTCTAATTGTTGCTTCATCAAGAAAGGGTGCATGTGATTTAGGAATATTCCTAAATGTTCTTCGCGATTTCTGTAACATAAGAATAACACTATTGATCAATAAAAGTACGGAATGGGAAAAAAACTGTTTCTTAAATTGTACTCTTAAAATAATTTAGTGATGTTCGCTGTTCAAACCATCGGCGTCGTGTAAAGAATTTATTATTTTACTTTTATACATTATATTATTATAACGATGTACGCAGGTACCTGTATGGCACAATAATGGCAACCTTGTGCCTGGCAGTGCAGTTTGGAGGGGCATACATTCCGCCCGGTCCTACTTCGGGATATTTGGTGTTTACGTATTCTAACGATACCTTTGACTTATTCAGTTGGACTGGTCCTGAAAATGTAAAAAAATTGTTTGAGCCCATGAAATTATTAAAGATATTTTTGGGAAAAGATTGGAAGGCATTCTCCGACCTCCTTTCGCGCTTGGCTATGGCCAAAAAGAAGAAAATAGAAACAAGAAATTGAGATGGTCATTGAGTTTAGAGGATGGAAACACAGTCTAAATCATTGAGACAAAAAATTGCCACGAGAATTACACTGATCGAAACCGCTGCTGTAAATGGAAAACCGCTTATCAGTAATTATTTACAATATTCATTCGTCGCAAACAAGGAGTTATCTTCTAATCACCGCCAGTACGCACTGGAGTTAAAGGTGAGTGTCACCAACATTTTTCCAAAATTACATTTCTTGGTTTTATGGGTAAACTCTTCAGAACGGAAGGAACAAAGTCCACTGCCTCCTTTCAAGATCTGAGCCTCTTCAACAATTATTTATTAAATATGTTTGCAGTGGCATTTTTGGGTGTTAAAAAATTTTGCGCACTAAATACTAAGAAAATATAATAGCTTAGTTTATTTAACCCCAAACGCAAAAAGAGAGGAGTTATATCTTTGAAGCCTTTGGCTAAATATCTGTATGGTCTCATACATTCTTCGGTACAACTCTGCCAATGCGGCGATCTACTTTAGCCACGTGCACTTTAGTTTAAACACGTGATTCATACTTTATTTTACGTAGTACATTACCAACTGTCCACCGATACACTACATCAAGGAAAGATTTGCCACCACGACACCTGTATTTTATACCAATAGAAAAAAGAAAACGGTAAAAGTATTACCGTTTTCTTTGGAAGTCTTTCTCTGCTCCGTACTAGGCCAACCATTAATCGCGAGTGCCATTGACACACATATAGACAACCACACATTACACTCAAACTCACAGGGTAAATAAATGTAGGCCCATACAAATATTTCTCCCGGCCCGGGAATCGATCCTGAGACGTTCGACTACGGAGGCATAAATGCATAGAGTAATTTAATTAAAAGTTCTCTTCCCACATTGGTTCTACCGTGAATCGAATCCGGGACCTCCGCATCCAGCGCCCACAATGTAAACCGTTAGGTCAACGAGGCCGTCATAAGTCCTTACCTAAATTATCAAACGGTTCACAATAAGGTAACGAATCATTGCTCCTCATTAACGTTGGCTCTGTTGACGTAAGATTTCTCAAGCTGTCCATAATTTTTGTGATCAGATTTGCTCTATTAGACGTTACATTTTTCTTCTTGGTCATTTCATGAGTTTTACTTCTCATGTCGTAGTAATCATGTATTGTTTTTAGTATGTGTTCTTTTCGACTCATTGTACTTTGTTTTGTAACGTTTTTAGTTTCAGTTACATTTTCTGCAAAACTGGTTGTATCATTTGAGAGTGTTAAGTTATTCGAGTTATGAATGTGAATAATATTGGTTATATTTGAAGATATAACAGCTTCGGGTAGTTTCTTTGGCCATGATGCCGAGGACTTTTCTTCGGGTAGATCGCGTGTTCTGAAAAATAAAAGGGAACATTGATTTCAAATGTAGAATGCTGCTGTTTGCGACAATTAGCACTCTTCGTAAGATAAACTAAATCTTATTTTCACGCGATAACGTTTTTTTTTTCAAAATGGCGTATTGTAGCGACAAGAGCCTCTCGAGTAAAAGGACATTTCTTTGTTCAGTGAAATATCTTATTACATTTAAATGTATCCTCATAAATTGGTTCAACCTAGATTTGAGAAGTGGTGTCGAGCGCTTACTTGATAGTTGGTAAGGTAGCATTGTAGAGCGGGGTGTATAGGTAGGTGCGCAGCGGTGAGGCATCAAGGATGGAGCCGAAGAGGTACTCGATTGCGGCTAGCGCCATGACCAGTAGTAGGAGCAGCCGTAGCGCGCGCGCTGTGCGCCCCCCGCCCGCGCCAGCGCCCCCTGCGCCCACCCCCGTGCCCATCAACGCATGCACGCCGCGCGCGCGCACCTCACCCTCGCTCGACTGCTATCCTGTAATTTTTAACATCCTTTTATTAGCACATTTAAAACCATCAATGGTCCATGTGGATTGAAAACATTTAATAGACACCATTTGTGAATTTTCAAGAACCAACGTATTTTGAGGAGTACAGTCAACATGTGCTTTAGAACATCCAATCTATTAGAGATATAAAGATAAATTAAGAGAGAGATATAAAGAGTTCGTCCAGGGAAGTGCTGCCACCTTACCTATTTCTGCCGCCAAGCATTATTGCTTTGCTGGTGTTCCGGTTTTGAAGGGTAAGGGTGCAGGTCAACTTATGTCTCAGGGTGATGGGTGCAGTGGCAGTGCCCCTCAGATATTTGCGATTTAAAGCTCTGAGTGGCACTGCAACTGTTATGGACAGGCGTGTAGCTTCATCAGGCGCACGATTTGTCCGTCCCGTCACTTGATATAATAAAAAAAAGATATGGGTTTGGTACAAAACCTATATAAAAAATGTTACCTAGAATACTACTTATATACTAATAAATTGTCCAATTTAGAAACTTTACGATTGTAATACGCAATATACACTAAATTAGAGAACAAAGTTCGACAGAACCAATTAGACTTCGTAGCATTCATCCAGTAAAGTATTGCCATGCCACCATGCCTAATTCTGCCGCCAAGCAGTAACGTGACCATTACTACGTTCTGGCGGTAGTGAAACTTCAGGTGACGAGTGTAGTGGCTGTATCCATAAAACCTTTGCGATTAAGGCAAGGTATTTCAACGTGAGCCTATTGAATAAAATAAGTACAGGCGGAGAAAATATGATACAGACCCGACATCGACAAGCGCCTGATGGCGACTGACGGGACAGCGAACGTCGCAGCGTGTCGTCAAAGTCGCTGAGTAATTTGCAAATTTTGGGATAAATGTGAATATAATAACTACAGGGCTTCAGTTGAAAACCAAAATTTAGCAGGTTCTCTGTAGTATGAAGAGAAATATCTCCATATAAAAATTATGTACAAAGTAAGATTGTTGATGACGCAGGTTTTTTTACACATCACATTTTTTACGCAAGAGATCAGCCTCCCTGATGCGACGTCTTCGTGATGGTTCCAACAGCCTTCTGAATTCAGTTTGGGAACAGCCGGCTTGCGCTTTTTGGAAGCACTGGAACCTAGTGCATATGGGTTCCAGGGGCTTAGTTTATAATTTAATGTAGTTTATTATTATTATTATTATTATTATTATTATTGAATTGTTCATACTAACATAGGCTATAAGATTTTGTAACTAACACACTATGGACATGGTCTGAAATAAATGAAATTATTATTATTATTATTATTATTAGGTATTTAAAAAAAAATCGCGAAAAATATACATTCTAACTGAATCTATCGACATAAAAAAGCTGTTTATTATCTTTGATACTGTAATAAAATATTATTTCAATGATTTTGTGATATTTAATAACAAAAAAGTATTTTTAACAATCTTCATGAAAACAATCAATCTGCCTAGCTTGATTAAGCTCAAATCTTAATGAATCTGCCTAGCTTAATCAACCAGATTGATTGTTTTCGTCAAACTTTATGAGATTTATGAAAAGTCTATGAGCTGCTTTTATGGCTCAGAGTCTGTTTCTGGAAGGTTTGTAAATTATTCCAGTGCGCCTTTTAAGTCATGTCACGACTTGAATGCAATGAATATCAGCATTAATTAATCCTGGTGCAGATATTTTGATTTACGCTGATTATCCGCGGGTGCGGATGCTGGTATTCGCAATAATCCTAGTACAGAGTTAAATATTTCATTCTGAAATAATTTGTTTTAGAATTTCATTTCAGCCTGTTTTCATCATTTTAGATGATCGGATAAAGTACATCTTATCGTGTAACAAATTAGGACAGTCAATATCCCTAGGTGTATAGTATGTTTTTAGTAAGACCGTTATTTAATTGTAAATACCTAAACCCTTTGCTCCAGGAAAATAGTTTTTCCCTATTCTCTTCCTATTGGAACAGTTACGGGTTAAGGCATATCGCTTAAAACCAAACGCGCGACTTGTTCATCTCGTTTTATACATTAAGTATTTTTTCTCAAACATGCTCTGAAACGTGTGCATTACTTTCAAAAAACGAACAGCCAGGATATGAGTATGATTTCAAGCACTGGAATACGACCGTAATGGCAGGGACTTGAGTATGATTTCTAGTGCTTAAAAACATATTCAAGTCCTGACTTGAGCAATGTTATACGACCCTTAGGGTCGTATTCTAGAACTCTACTCGATGCTCAAGTCAGGACTTGAGTATGATTCAAAGCACTAGAAATCATACTCAAGTCCTTGCCATTAGGGTCGTATTTTCAGTGCTTGAAATCATACTCAAGTCTGCTCAAATCCTGACTTGAGCATTGACTAGAGTTCTGGAATACGACCCCTAGACTTAACTAAACTTTTAAATCTATTTAGTACTTATAATGAACTACGCAAACAGGCAAAAGAAAAATTAATACAGCCAACTGCCCAGTGTTCGTGATTGCGAGAATTAAAAATACCTACCTGGGGGCCTACCAAAACCTTTCCAAAATAGTAGTTTATGTGACTGTTACATAATGAAAGTGAGGGTTTATGAAACGAGTCGACAGGCGAGTTTTATAAAAACATCTGACGAGTGTTTTAATGCATAATTACGTACCGTTATATACACTGCTTTATCTACACACATATTAAAAGCTCTCAGTGATGTCTTCAGGAACCGCAAGTTACGACTGGCGAAATGGCGGCAAATAAAAACTTTTCTCACGCATGTCACACAACCGTACTTTTTATTTTTATTTCATAGACAAACTAGAATCGGCCCTAACTATCATATCGTTCGATATCAAGTTACGTGTGAAATTGTCAAAATTGTTTGCTATTGACATTTCATTACCAATAAAACTTCATCTCGACTGATATTGGGATTGAGGTCCAATCAAATTGTTTTGTTTTTCAGAGGTGTTCAAAATTTCAATGTATTATTAACATCGAATTCGATGTTATTATGAAGCAATAATAACATTTTCTCAGATAAGAAATTTGTTCTAACAAAATAGTCTACCTTTAATGCTGGTCGTAATTTGTGGTTTTTGAACACAATTTAGAGAGTTTATGATGATTATGATTATGTTTATGTGTGTAGATATACAATCTTATTTCAATGTAAGCTTATTCTAATATTACTCATATTGGTACCATTACAAACCTGTCAACCAAGTAATGTATTATTGCTAAAGTGATTGAAAGAAAGAATAATTTCCCAATGTGGTCTATTCCATATTACAAATACGAAAGAAATAACGCTATATAAACTACGAGTCCTGTACCTACGGTGGGGTCGGGCTCGGCCTGCGGCGCGTGGTCGGTTTCAGTTTACGGGGTATGCTCATGCTCTTCGGTGGCACAGCAGTTAGTACTATGGGCGCTTGATGAGGAGGTCAATTGCCGATTTATGTCAATTTAAGAAACGAACATTTCTAAGTTGGTTTTGATCTGAGTATTCTAGGTTATCGTTGATTTGGTATTCATTCGGCAGTAGTTTGGTATTTTTTCCCACTAAATACTTCTCTTTGGTATAGCTTTCAAGAAAATGAAATCTAACATAGAGACGGTTGAGATACAACAACGCTATAATAAGTATCTCATTTCCACTACATCGGGAAGCATGCTTTACATTTTTACAATTGTGAGATCTTATAATCGTAATCTATTACGTCTCCGTATATTATCTCCATTTGATGGCGTGCGGACGCTTCGGGCTTCGCCCTCCGCGGACCTCGGTCTCCGGCCTCGGCACTTATGGCTTTGTTTTAAAAAAAATTAAATAGCTCTTTAATGGCGGCCATATTTAAAAATTGCAAAAATATATTTTGACCACTAATTATTATCAAACAATCTTAGAAATCTTTTCGTGCCAATTTTCAGTCCGAGCAAAAAAAGTTTTATCAATAGCCATTTACATAAAAAATTACGGCTATATCGAAAAACGGCAGAAACAAAATTTTTACCCCAAATTGTGATTGAAGACTCCTAGAGATCTCCTAGAGATCCACACATGCCAATTTTCAAAGGGATCCCAGCATTTTTTGTCAATTGCTAAATTTGACATAAGAACAACATTACTTTAATGTTAAAGTCGCGTCATAGAGCAAACTGAGTGAATGAATGGTCACAAAGCTGCCAATAAAACATCATAGTTTTGACATTATAATAAGCTCACTTTAAGCGCGTCATAGCACAAAAAGTTAATGTAAGGTTAAAGTAATATTGTTTTAAGAGGTTGTGGTAGGCCCCCTGTACCGCTTACTTTTTTAAAAAGAAAAGGCGGTAAAATAAACTAAAGTACTTCTTTTCTAAAAGGTTTGTTTGAAAAAACAAATATACGCGATTTAAATCCGGAGAAATAGTTTCATTTCCTATACTTCTTTTCTGCTTTTTCGTCTTTGTTATATTTTCGTTGAAAAAATAGTTTTACTGAGAAGAGCGATAACGGAAATGTGATTGTGCTCCGCCTAATTTAAAACAAGAAGTAATATTAACCCTGTAAAACTTCTAGCTGGCTATGAGCAAAGTAAGATACATGAAAAGTTATGAAATTTTCATGCACTGGAGAATCACGTGAATCACATGATCAGAAGTTTTGCAGACTACTATAGACTACTAATATGTATCTGAAAAATAACAACATTCTTTTAGCAAATTGTCCTAACACGTCAAATGTTACTTTTAATGTTTTTACTTTATTTGTTACACATCTTCCTCTCTTTGGTCTTCTAGTATTTCCTCACATTGTTTGACAAAAGCACTATACACGCCTCGGCGGGGATTGCTTGACTCCAATTTATACGAAGCCCCTCTAGTAATTCATACTCGTCCAGCAATCCCTTATTTCCCGGCCTCTGCAGTAATATAGGTACTATTATACATAACAGGATTTGGAAGTGTACTCATATTGACCATCAGGCGAAAGCATGTATCATATATTTCGAAGGCAAGTATCAGCGGCAAATGGTCCCTATAACACGATCCCCAACGGCTTGCCTAAAAAATAAAAATAAAAAGTATTATTGAACGTGAGCGCCTCACATTGCAACATTTGCTGCGTACCTTCTATATCGGCTTACCTCTTAAATATCCGCTCTTTGCGTTATGAAGGTAGGAAGTTTAGGAGGGTTTCTTCTTGCACTACGTGAATGTGTGCAGGGCACAAAGTCTGCTAATTTTAGGTCATCTCAGGTGTGTGTGGATAAAGTATCAGTCAGTCAGTCAGTCAGGATTTTGTACGTTTGGTGAATACCAATTAGCAGAAATGCTAAAAGTGAAGAGTCTTGTCAGTGACTAGTCACCACTCTACTATTCAACTCCCATTGAATGTTTTTGGTATTCTGCTCTTCAATGGCGAGTAGATGGTACATTGATCGCGTAGTTCACTAATATTATTTATGTTCAATTTGAAAATTAAGTTGCTAACTATACGAGATAAAAATTAAAATATGCTAAATATTTTTAGACGAAAAGAGGCAACTCCACACAATACCCACCTTGCAATCCTGTGGACTCTCACTTACTACTAGGGATGCACATTACAATTCGATTTTTATCGATAAAATGGAAATAAAATATGTAATCGGGTAATAAACATTTTGTAACAATATTACATTTCAGCAAAACTCGTTTTACAAACATTTAGTTGTAAATAGTTTTTGACCTCGGTTTCGGGCGTTAATGCGTTTTAGCGCGATTAAAACCCGGCGTTAAAAAAGCGTCGGGTTTTTATCCTTGGTTCAGTGTCGATAGTGTCAATGGCAAGATTTTGTGCGTTTGGTATTCTGCTAAAAGTTAAGGTAGTGGCTAGCCACCGAGCTACAATTTAACAGCCATTGCAATATTTTGCTATTCTGCTCTTCGATGGAGAATCGATGGCGTAGTGTATTCATATCATATAGATTTAATTTTAACACTGAATTGCTGACTAAACGAAATAAAAATTAAGATCTGCATATTTATAATATGTTATAATTATTAATACAAAGATCGAACACTCACAAAAAATTCCTTCGATCCGGCCGGATTCGAACCGACGTCTTCTAGCATACCTAAGCAACGGAACAAACCAGAGGACCTCAAGAATTTTTCTATGTGCTTGTTGTCGTGTCTTTGTATTTGGTTTTTCAACGACTTTTAGTCGTAGCGCCATCTATGAGAAATCTATGAAAATATTTCGTCACACAGTTAGATACCTAGATAGATACTTAGTTCATATAGCGTCTGACACGGTATGCTAGATGGCGTCGGTTCAAATCCGGCCGGATCGAAGGAATTTGTTCTGTTGTTTTGTTTGTTGTTTGTGTCTTTGATTTGTTTTTCACAATATTCGTTTCTTTTTTCTTTTCGAATTTCCTTTTTTTCACAAAATTCGCGGAGCATAATATTAGTAAATAAATATGGCTGTTTCCAAAAATAACAGAAAATGACCAAAAAATAAAATTCATTGAATACACCGAAATTTGATTAAAGTAAAAAAAATCATATTGATAACATAATATATTCTGCAAATGTTATGTAGTCGTAAATTAGAACGTTCTTTGGTAATTTAAAAATAAGATTAACTATGGGGTGGTTTGCATTAATATTAGACATAACTGGTTGATGACTAATATCTCAATAAGCCATGATCATGGGACCAGTAAAGAGCTCAAAAAGTAAAATTTACGCGGTTTAGATTCGGAAAAATTGTCTCATTTCAAGTGTTTTATTATGTTAATAAAGTTCATAGCAACGAGTCACGTTAGGGCCACACTTTGATTCTATAATATTAATAAATTACAACACTGACAATATAATTAGTACTTTATGTACAATATTCACGTCTGCACTCGACCACAGAACACTACACCACAAGTGTATAAACAATGCAATATTATCATGTAAACTAAAAGAAATAGGCATTTATTGTTTTCCAGGGAAACGAAAAATGTAAATGTTATGAAACATATTAAGGTAAATCGTCGGCTTCTCGACAATGCACTAACTTTGTAATAACAGAAATAAACAAAACAAGAAATGCGTTAAAAGTTTTTTGCTACTTCATCAATGTCCAAGTGACTAGACGAACGAGTCGTGCGCCACACGCCTGTCCATGACAGTTGCTGTGTCACTCAGAGCTTTACATCACAAAGATCTGAGGGGCACTGCCAGTGCACCCGTCACCCAGAGACAAGTTGACAAGTCCCATGAGCCTGTAATTTCACCAGAACCGTTACCCTTCAAAACCGGAACACAGTAACGCTCACATTACAGATCGGTGGCAGAAATAGGTAAGGTGGCAGAACTCTCGTACAATATAACTGTACAGAGTAAACCGCTTAAAAGATCAGGTAAAAAATTTAAAAAAATCTAAACCCTTTTAACGCTATGCCATGTAGATCTTCGTAGGGGTACAGAATAGGAGGTTTCACGCGATGAAGGCCCCGTGCGGCTTAGCGGGGATAACACGGGGAGAAGGGTAATTTTTCCTCATTTTTTCCCGTACCCGGTCATACTCACCCGATTAAATGGGCTTTAAGCCAGGTCTTAAATCACGTGTGCAATAAATCATGGCTACTGGCCCGCGAGCAAATGACAAACGAGTTTTTCCCCCGGATTTATAAACAAAAGACGTAACATTTTATGCGTGGAACACCGTCGTATTTTAGAAGTGTTTATACGCTAAAAATATCGTTTTACGAATGCCTACTGAATGAATTAATAAAAATTAATTTCGACCTGCATAAGCAGTTCTCACGACTTGTATGAGAAGAAGAAAAGTACGGCCCATTTCCTGGGGCGCAAAAAAATGTTTTATTTGTTAATTACACGTGAACTTAACTCGGGGCCTGATGTTCCCTTTTAGACTAGACAGGGCATGTGTTAGGAGACACCGACCTCTATAATAAGATAGATAGTTTGAATTAGTAATTTAAATTGCAAAAGAAACTTATTAATTATTATTTTAATTAAAGAAATATCATATTAATAATATAATAATTATAATAACGCACACACTCAACATAGCCCCGCACTAGGGAAACCCTGTGACTGTCAGGACGGCTGGTCGCCTGTCGCATCTGGCACTGAGTGTATATTCAAGAACTGTTACCTATTTGCTACTATTTGCTACCTTTTCTAATTATTTGCTTTGCTTGGGTGCCCCGAGTTAAAAGTGGTCAATAGGTTTAATTAACGAAAAAAAAAGTTTCATTTCCTATGTGCAACTATCGCGAAAACCTAAGAACTCGATACCATAGAGATTTATAGATATGGCAGCTCAGCGGGCGAAGCGGGGCGAAGCGAGGCGAAGCTTTCTTGGCATCCACTCAAATTGAACAATATACGAACGGAATTACTCGGCAGTTCCCACACCGATGTGCACGAAATTTGAGACCTGCATCAATAATACTATTCTACAGGTCGTGACGAAGCCTAATTTTAGAAGTTCGAACTGTGTCTGAAGATAATTAAGGTCAAAGTAATGAAAATGTCGTCTATGGAAAATGTGCAGAATTATGAAATAAATAAAAATAAAAAACAAAGCCAAAGTCTAAGTCAAAGTCAAATAATGTTTATTTCTTAGGTAAGCAAATTATACTTGAAATCGTCATACTGATTAAACTCTACTGCTCATTTGTAAGACAGATTCCCCTGAGAAGAATGAGCAAGAAACTTTAGGGGCTGCTCTTTGTAAGTATACATTTGAATACATTTATCATTACTATATTTAATTTAAACATGTTAGATCGAGAGTACCTGCAAGAGCTAAACGGTTCACTACCACGGATTTTTGTCATCCAAGCACGCAGAAGTTGTATAAATAACCTTTAGTATAGTAAGTTTATGTTTCATTATAGTTTTACATCTCGTAAATGGCAAATTTTGAATATCAATTGGAATGGATTGATATTTCCCCTTAAATGAATTTGAGAGTTTATGAAGACTACTGTCAAGGATAGCTAGTTTAGTTTTATTCCTCGTATTAATGTTATGTCGTCACAATTTTTCATGAAAAAATAATATTTTCCTTAATATAAACAATATTTTCATAAATGTACTGTGACGTTAGCTTGAATGTTAATCTCTTTAAACTGAACTAGAAGTACTGTTCCTCTTCGGTAGCGAATCCACATTCCGGCTTCTTTAAAATAGCTTGGTATATTACGTACCCGAGTCGTAGTGTGGTATAAGCAGGGAGCCCTGTGGTAGCCCATTCTCTTCAGCACTGCCTCGTGTAACACATTCCTCTGCCCTCCATTTCCTGTAACAACGTTAAAACTGCATTGTAACGTGCTGTAGCAAGACCATGACCCCAACCTCACTCACATGCGCCTACTACTGGCTAGTATATTTCGCACTTTTTATACCTACTTTGGTATAAAAAGTACGAAATATAAAGAATAAATTAATATAAATAAGATTTTATTTTAGGCAAGTCAATGGGAATAAAAGGCATGTAGCAACTTAACTGCTTCCTTGGCCAAACGGTTACCATGCCGGACTGCCACGCAGAGGTCCCAGGTTCGATTCCCGGGCCGGGAGAAATGTTTGTATGGCCAACATTTATTTCTCTATGAGTTTGAGTGTAATTTGTGATTGTCATGTGTGCGTCCATGGCACCCGCGACACAGGGTTTCCCTAGTGCGGGGCTATGTTGAGTGTGTGCTTTATTTATTATTATTATTTTATTAGTTAATGAGTTGTTTATTTGTTTTTTAAATAGCATATTTTTCTCAGACCTTAGAACTTTCGATAAATTATTGTAATTTTTGGCGCCATCACAAAAACACTTTTTTGTATGAAGGTAATATTTTATAAGCTTTCAAACGCCATAACGTCTTGGCTCTAGAGTTCGCATGAATAATTGTGTGTGCATTCGGACCTATACGGCGGCAGTTGCGTTAATATAAAGTGAAGTTATAGTCAGTAGTCGAAGATCTTTAACATGTGGTTTATATATATGGGTAAGTTTTTGGATTTACATCAGTTTATTGTTGAAGGTATGATATGCACACATTTTTAACAGTTTTTTATTTATTCATGATAAGAGCATCAGGATATACAGGGTGGAAATTTGAGACGGGTTAGCAAGATCAGCTACCTTAACCACCGCAACTACATGAAAACGTCCATGATTTTTGAAGGTATTTTGTTTGGCATTCACAGATTTTGAAAAAATTGTACAGTTAGCTAGATAAAATGCAATTTTCACGTAACTATTTTTCCGAGCTATCCGATCCTATTTCCGTTAATGATCAAAAGTCTCTATGACCGACCAACTGAGAAAAGAGTACTAGAACAGACAGAAATTGCAAAAAGCTTTACCATCATATTCTTTTAATTTTGGGGTGCGGTTAAAATCGGTATCATTTCCGATCTTTAATAATAAAGAGATCTCTGAAAATGTTTTTTCATTAAGCGAAATGGACAAGTTAATAAATCATATCCTTTAATGGCTTTTCATTGACCGTCCTTCGCTGATTCATTGGGTTTCTTTCAATTTTATTGTGTTCTGTTAATCCGGAGGACAGATGATCATGCAGCATCATGCTTTTTAAATGCTTTTACAAAAACATCTTGGAATGAGGTTATCATTTTATGAACTAAAATTTATAAAGAAAATGAGTTCAAAAACAACTAAATGCCACGAAAATGCCTTGTTTTTATATACGGTATTAATGTGTCTACTTCCATAATAACTTCCTTTTCGCGTAGGTATACGCTAAAAAACCTTTTATCATTTAAGTAGCCTTTGAGATTGCAATGTCCGTCGTGCGGTTTTGTATACAGCGAAATTAGGAAAAACTCAAAATGACCGTTTATGACGTAATACTTTAATATTAACGATCTCATTTGCGACGTCATAACATGCCAAAGACTCGTCTTAACAGCGCTGTTAAATTTTTATTCCGTCCGAAGAATATTATTAATATTTATGATCTAACAAATTTTGCCGTTATATAATTTGTTAGGATTTTTGAATATAATTGTGAAAATACCGTTAATAGTTAAAGATCATAATGGATATAATTACGAAGTCGTTTTAGGCTTAACTTACTTGCTGCGGAATGGAATGGAAGCATATTTTTGTAAAGAAATAGTACATAGCATAATGAACTTCATGTCAATAGTGTAACGTTCAAACAAGATACGAGCTTAAAACAGGTCGCGCATCTTCCGGAGCCTTCTCGCACATCCTCGAGAATTCCCGCATCTACCTCTTGTACCTATTTGTTTACGATAATAAGTGATGGGACGAACAAATCGAGCACCTGGTGGAGAGCGACACGCTTGTCCACAACAGTAACAGCTTCCGCTCAGCTTCAAGTCGCAAAAAACCTTTTAAGAAATTCGTTTGCCTCGAGTTTCTTCTTCATGTCGCTGACGACCGCCAAAATATTTGTATGGCAAATTGTACACAGCCCCAAACTATAGCAAGAAGAACGAATTATACTTTAACGCGGGCCCAACTTTAACATTTGATGTCCTTCTAGTCCGTAGTGAAAATTTGTCATTTAAATTTGTGCAATATAGCGAGAGGCAAAATCCAATATGTTTTTTATACAGTAATTTTCGCACTGCCTTTGTAAAATATTCACAACATTCGAGCGTTGCGTGCCGTTTGCGCGAGGCAAAAAGAAATTAAAAAAGTTGTTCCCAGCCAGCGCCCTTGTTTTAAATATTTCACAGCTTTGGCTCACGGCTATTATGGGTGTTTTGTTACACCTCGCCACGAGGAAAACATCAAAGCGTTTACCACGAGATAAATAAATAAAAACCGTAGAATATGAAAGGCCAAGGAAGATACTCATCTTGATTTCCGCGACTTCAGAACAGGAAATTAAAGAGAGACGTTAATTATTAGTTTTTGCTTTTTCGCATGCCTATTTTTTATTGCCAAAAACAATTTTTCATTTTTACGTATCCAATATTACTACAATAGATTTTTTTAAGCTTTAGTACGTATAGTAGTTTGTAAATAAAATAATAACGACATTGCTGTTAAAATAAACGAGGCCAGTTTTATGACAGGCATTTAACTTTCTATTTAGAACTGTCTATGGACGAGTGGCGCTGAAAATTTAAAAAAATAGACATTGTTTTTTGTCAGACAACATTCGTCTACGTAAAATGGAAAATTCAGGAAAATACGCCTACAAAACTGTACATTCGGCATACAAAGGAAATAGCATTGCAAGTGACTACGTAGTAACAATAATAAGTCTTGTTCGTAACAATTTTAGAGTGGTTACACACGGTGACTTTTAGCAGCGATGTAAACGCGATGCAGTCGCTAATCGTCTACACACACACGCGCACGATTTTAAGCACTACACTTGGGATTCATAGGCAATTGCTTTGATGCAATTGCGCGTTTGTATCGATGCAATCGCGCTTTTGCATCGATGCAGACTCGTGTTTGCATCGATCCAATGGTCTATAAAGCTCAAGTACAGCGATGCAATCGCGCGTTTCCATCGCTGCTTTAAGTCGTCGTGCGTAACCACTCTTAGAGTGTCTTTTCAATCATTTAATTTCTCAGCCGATAATGTTTCACGGCATGGCCTCCCTTCTTCCACACATCGCGCTTTAACGCTGCCGCTACCGGTCAAGATCTCATATGAGAATCTAGCTCGTCATGCCACCTGCTTCTGGGTCTTCCACGTTTTGGTCTTGCATTGGGTGGGAATCACTTCGTGGTGGTCTTTGCTCACAGTGTGTCCAGCCCAGTTCCATTTCATACTGATGGCTTTTTGACCATCAACGATTTGTGTTTTGGCGCGCAGTACATTGTTCCGCACGCAATCTGACAGTTTAATCCCAAAGTTTGCGTTCAATGCCTTGCTGACATATTTCGAGACCGAAATACACAAAACGAATGCCGATTTCAACTAAGTAAAAATGGAGAGCTGAGCATGTTTTTCGAATTTATAAAACGAACTTTTCCAAAGTTTAAGCATGAAATTACGAACACTAAGTTTAATTTAATTTCTTGCTCAAACTTAGGCAAACTTCGTTTTGTAAATAAGGGAAACGCATTTGCCTCATCATCTTGGTTAGTCGAAGTTAAAGTTCGTTTTATAAATCTCATACTTTGTGTGCATTAAAATTGGCAAACTCAAAAAAAGAGACGTTTAAGTTTTTTGTATTTAAAAAAATAAAAATGTTTATTTCCTTTAACTCAGGCCTAGTTTACAATTCAGGGTTCGAAACTCCCTTTAAGTAAATATATACTTGTGCTAAAAGTCCCGCTATTCCACATTACAAATATAGGAATACCCAGTGTGTGTGTGCGTGTGTGCGTGTGCGTGCATGTACAAGTCAAGTCAAGTCAAAGTCAAAGATCGTTTATTCCATAGGTAAAAGAAATTTACATTTGAAAACGTCACATTTAACCAACTGGTCGTTGACTTCCCTGAGAAGAACGAACTAGAAACTCTAGGGACTGCTCTTTTCAAATAAACTTAAATGCTATGGAATACACATTGAATCAAATTTGTGTGGATTATACGGCTCCAGAGCCGTGTGCGTGTATAATAGTGAATTATGCATGGAAGTACTAGAGTAACAAAGTACAGATGTTACGTTTTGGAGAACAGTCGATTTCATTGATTATCCGGGTACATTAAAATATGATTCAGTTTCGTCATAGTTTAGTAACTGGAAAATTTTATTACAGCGTTTTTCTGTAATAATACTTCATTGGATAAATTTGTAATATTTTATTCACTTTATTGTAGAGATAGGCAGATTGCCTCTTTACGTGCAAAAGTTGTATGTATTTGTATTATAACAAATAAACATCATCAACCACACGTGGAGTTATCAAATAGGAGAGCTTGGTATAAAACGGTCGATCAATAAATATGAATGGCGGGTGAGATGGGTCCGAGATCTCGGACCGTAAAATGGATGGGCCATTTTCCGAGCGAAAGGAACGGCTTTACGGCGTGTTTTTTCGTAAGGATTTGTTTCGCCTTCGCTGATCTCCTTTGGTTTACATTTGTGTATGGGAAAAGGCTTGACACTTTCGAAATCCGATCGTCTTATAATAAGTGATATAGAGTTGAATTACAATTCAAAATGAAAAGAGAGGCGATACGTCGTAGCTGCATTTTTTTTCTAGATTTCGTGAAGTTTTTGTTTAGATTATTATGCTGAATTATCGTTAATTGAGAATTAAGACAGTACATTAAAAAAATTGTCGAATAGTTATTACTTTTTTATTCTCCAAATTTGAAGGGATTACTACTGGGGTAT